CAACAAGAAAGACCCAAACAGTACAGTATGTCGCAGCATACTGTGCTTGTTGACCCAACAAAAGCGTAGCCAACAACAAAGTATAGTATGTCGCAGCATACTCTACAACGTTGAATAAAAACCCAACTCCCAAGACGAAGGACCAGATATAGCAACCCCCTTACTCCCCGAAATACGTGTGTACAACGACTAAGATGAGGACTGATCCTCCCGTTCTGACCGTCGTACCGCGAAGCACCTAGTCAAACTTTGGACCTGGACGCAACTGTCAGACACTTGAAGCCGCTTGCCAGCAACCTGGACGTCAGAGAGAATCCTGCAGCCCGATTTGCAACTGGGTTAGATGGCGATTTTTCTTCGGCTACCTTGTTCGGTGCCAGCAGCCATTCATCAAGAAGAGGGAGGTGAAAACAGACCAAGATGAGACGTTACAACAGAGTCGCCTAAATGGAAGAAGAGGGGACGTAACGTGACTGACTGGACTGCCGAGTCCCGAGCAGATATATTAGAGCGATCGAAGGCCAACGGTCGTCGCCAATCTCAAGCCCAAGATCAATCATCTATCATCTACTCACAGCTGCTTCAGACCCCCGTAAATACACCCCAATAGCAATATCAATCACCGTCTATCATGCCCAACAGTAGCTACATCAATGCACTAGTACGCTCTCTCCACGATGAGAGCCAGGAGCACAACGTTGTCACGTTAAGGTTGTTTGCCCTCAGAAGCTATGGAGAGTCCTTCGCTCGTCTACGTGCGACAGACAGACGTAACGGACGACCCATAGACGATGGCTGGGATACTGCAATGGCGATAACATCGACCTCGTGCACAAACTCGTTTGTCAAACGAGTCGACTCGTGTCTGGATGTTGCGTATGACAGGATCATTTTCCTTCGCCATGACAGAGGCGATCATTGCACAATCATGTCATCAGAACTTACTGAATCATTGTTGTCCAACGACAATGACGACGAAGCGATAGATCCAGTCAATACTCAAGAGCAACCCAGTACGCCAACAATGTCCTCCTTCTTTTGGCTGACAGTTATGGTGGTTTGCCTTCCAATGTTTCTCTTTGGATTCAATACTGGTGTTCTCAATGCTCCCGAACCTTACATTTTTGTGGGTCATTCAGTGATGGAGTGGTCGTTCGCCGTTTCAGCCTTTTGCGCGGGCGGTTTTGTGGGTGCCAATGTCTCTGGAAAAGCTGCAGATGCATATGGAAGACGACTGTGTTTGATTGCCATTTTGTTCAGCAATCTGGTCTTCGGAATTTTGCATTCGATTGCACCCAGCATGCTTTGGCTAATCATTGCTCGATTTGGAGTGGGAGTGGCTGGCGGAGCTTCGACGGTACTAACACCTATGATGTTGTCGGAGATTTCACCCACCAAAATTCGTGGTTCCGTTGGAACTTTGACACAATTGGCCTGTGTTTTGGGAATCTTGGTCAGTATTTTATGGGCACTCCCCTTTTGTTCCGATGACGAGTGGCGTTACATATTTTTACCCATTGCGGTGATTGCTGCCTTTGGACTATTGGCAAGTCCGTTCTGTCTTCCAGAAAGTCCGCGTTGGTTGTTGCTGAATCAATACGAAACTCGGGGAGAAGAAGCACGCAACACAATGCAGCTCTTTCGCAAAGAGAGTGCCCATGAAATGGAAGAAATTGAAATGGAAGTCTTGGAGCTATTAGGCGAAAATTACAATGTAGCAGATACGAATTCTGAAATACCCATGTTCCGCCACATGGCCTCCAACAGCATTCCCCCCCTTTCAATCGACGAAGAACAAGAAGCAGAGCAAGTCGTCGATATTCTACCTGATCACTCGTTCAAAGCCTACGCCAAGGATCCTCGCAATCGCGTGGCAATTTTGAGCTCGGTCCTTTTTCCTGTGGCTCAACAGTTGAGTGGCATCAATGCGGTCTTTTACTATTCGACATCCTTTTTTGAGGGCGTCATTAGCAATCCACAAAATGGAACCATTATTGCGTTTTCGGTCAATGTTGTTGCGACGCTAGTGGCACTGGCACTAATGGATCGACTGGGACGAAAAACGCTACTGTCGTGCTCGGCGGGTGGAATGTTTGTCTGCTGTGTGGTGCTGACCTTTTCTCTACTGGGCATGCTTCCTGGATATATCACAGTAGTTGCCGTCATGCTGTTCATTTCCTTTTTTGAAATGGGTTTGGGATGTATTCCCTTCTTTTTGAGCTCAGAGCTGATTGCTCCAGAGCATGTGGGCACAGTCCAATCCATCAGTATGAGCTCGAATTGGTTTTCCAACTTTTGTGTGGGACTACTTTTTCCACTCATGGATCAAACGTTGGGCCCCTATTCCTTTGTCCCATTCGCTTGCGCGCTGCTTGTGACGGTCTTATATTCCTTGTTTGTCTTGCCCGAGACACGAGGAAAGACCTATCAGGAAGTAAGACAAGAGATGGATGTGCGGTGGCAACAAAATGCATCCTTTTCACCCGTTCCGCAGGAGACGGGACAATTGGCACTCGGTCAACAGCAGTCAGTCGAACCAGAAACGACAATTGTATAAAATCTATCATTTGGGATAACTATCAAGAACAAGGAAAATGGTCATGTTAAACTAATTAAAAGATAGAAGTAAGTTGTCCTAGGATGATAATCCAATTTTGAGAACTATTGTTAGATGATTGCAAGCGTTAACTTGTTTTGCCCACTGAATCAGCTTCTTTCCAACTGCGCACCCAATCACATTTCTTCAGTCCCCAGGAAGTATTGTTCTGCTCTCACCATTTCTGGACGACATTCTTAAGCTGTTCGGCTTTACCAACAGCACCCCACTCAGTGTAATACCAAATCGCTTGGTCCATGTGGCGCATTGCATCGTATCGATCATTACGCATCTGTAATCGATACTCGGCAAACCTCTCATGAAAAAGAGCAGCGTGGTGGAGGTGATCATTCCCTACCGCATGAGATATGGCCTGCTTGTACATCTTATCTGCGTAGTCATACTTCTTGTCCAACGCTGCCAGTTCCGCGGTCAACATGAGATCGTAGTGCTTGACATTGGGATCTCCTGCTTCAGACCACTTCGAGATTTGCTTCTTAATTTTTATTGCTTCGGACCTGAACTTTCGATCTCCCGTCTGTCGTGCCATTGCAAACCAAGCAATACCTCGATGAAATGTCTCGATGCGACCAACAAAATATCCCTTAAGTTGTTCGGTATATGAGTTCCCCTTCTCTTTTCCCATCAACAGCTTTGTGCGTGCTGCATGGTCCGAGAAGAAAAGAAGAAGTTCCCCTGTTGCTAGATTTTCAGTGGCGACTTTGCTCGGGACGCCCGCAAAGCTGTCCGAAGATTGACTGTACTTTTCTCCTTCGAGTTTCTTTGCAGCTTCACTAGGCCGTAATTGTAGATTTATCATCATCTGCCAGCAAACTCGAAGTTGTAGTAGTACCTTCGTTTGCTTTGATTCCTCCAGTTGCGGTTCAATCTTTTCCAGCTTGTTAAGGATGGAACCAAGCGGGCGGCCCATAATGTATGGCAAGAACATATAGCGAACAAGTAGATTGAAAGTGGCCCTTTTGGTATCTCCTTCCCTCATCCCTTTCGAGTACCCTTCAAGCATTGGGTTCAGCGCTTCATACAATGGATGTACAATACAAAGCACAAAGCCCCAACTGATGTGGATTGTTTCAGCAGCATTCCGTATTCCAAACCTCTTTTGTATTGAAAAGGCAATGTTACATAAATGCAAAGATAACGCATGGTCGTTCTTCGTAATCATAGTCGCGGCTCCGAGACTAGCAAAACTTGCTGCAGAGAGAACATAGATACCATGATCAACAGTAAGCTCAATAACCTTGCAAACGCACAAAAAGCTGAAGAAAATATCGCTCCCGTTGTATGCAGCTATTTGGAGCCTTGACAGCATATTCACGATTCCTATCTGTCGTTCGTCTTCCATGTACCCAGCTTTTTCGAAATGATCAACAGGCAGTTTTTCCAGCCGCTTGCCGGTTTTCATCACGACGGCCAACACTTCAGCAGGGCTCAATTTTTTACTCCGAACAAAGTCGTACCCGATGTCCCTCAATGTTTGAACAGCGTAGCTAACTGCATCAGCAGGCCTGAGTTCTACACTTTCAAGTATATTCACATTCATCATTCTCAGCTGCATTGTCTCCATTGGTGAGTATTCCTTCCGATCCAATACTACTCGAATGTATTTCTCCGCCGCACCTATATTGCCAAGTGTCACATTCATTTCTGCACCAAGCGAATAGAGTTCTAGTGTCAGATAGCGAGATGTGGTCCACATTTCGTCTTCAGGTAGTTGTCTAATGCCATTAGCGACGTATCGCTCTCCGCTTTGAAAGGCTGCCATCTTGCGAGCCTTCTTTGCGGCTCGCAGATTCAGCGCAGCGAGATCGAATCTTTCGGTCATGTTGCCTTTATTAATAAGATCGACAACCGCAAATAGCTGCTTCTCAAGGCGCGACTCGCTTAAGCCTTCGTAAAGACAAACACCGAGTCCGAATTGGAACCAAGGAGTAACCAAGTCTGATAGCGACAAAGCTGCCCCTTGGACCTTGTCGTGAACCCATTCGAGCTCTCCTGGTCTAGAAGTCACCAACAGATTTGCTTCCTCAAGCACGTGTAGGATGCCAGCCACATCCGGATCTGCACTCTCCAAGATCAATATCGCATGGTTCTTCCAAACAAACTTCAACGTCGAAAAAGTAAACGAAGGTCCAAGGCAGGCTGCGTATTGCAATAGCAATTGCATATCGTGAGGAAGTTTCCTCATTGGCGCTTGAAGCAAGTCGGTAACGTTGCCCGCCGATATGGTCTCATCTTCGATTTGTTTGACATTCCACACCCACTGTCCCGAACGAGTCTCCAACAAACCCTTAGTACAAAGCATCTTAATGAACTCGATTACGAAAAACGGATTACCCAGTGTACGTTTGTAGCAAACTTCCGCCAGATCCCGAGTCTTTGATTCATTATTAATAGATTTGATGTCACTGGACAACACCGTCATAATCATCTTGTTCACGACGTCAGGATCAAAGTTTTGCAGTTCAATATCCGTGATCCGAAAACCAAACTTTGTGCATTTTTCTTGGAGTGTTCGAATGCGATTGAAGAGCATGCTATTCTCGTCGACTTCGTTGGATCGGTAGCATCCAATAATCATCAAAGGTCGTGGATTCTCCACGTCAGATATCAAACAATCCAAAATATCGAGCGACGATATATCAGCCCACTGAAGATCGTCTAGAACAATCACAATGGGATAGAAGCGTGACCCAAGTATCCTAGTCAACATGCGGAACGCAAATTTCCACAGTTCGTGGTCGTTTTCTGCTGCATTTGCGCCACTATAATAAGTGCTGGTAGTCGCATCCTCAGAGTGCTGGAAAATGCATAGCTCTGGGATCAATTCCATCAGCATATTAGCTTCTTCGTGCATGGAATCTCGTATCGTCTTCCCAATACTTGAAATTACTTCTGGAGCACAGGACTTAAACTTGCTGCATAAGTCACCAAAAGCTTGTGCCACGCCAGAGTAAGGCTCGTCGATCGACGAAAATGCGTATTTTCCCTCCACATATATTCCACCTATCGATGCTACGTCAGGTTGGAGCGACTGTGCTAATGTCGACTTGCCAATCCCGGAAAAGCCTGAAATGAAAACGAGCTCATTTTGAGAGACCGATTGTTTGTCACAAGAGTCATTCTCATCGTCAGAGCTTAACAACCTTTGGAAGCAGCGTCTAAGGATGGATATTTCTTGGTTTCTCCCAATAACCCCGAGCGAATTGACATCTAGCTTGTTGACGTCTGAAGGAGAATCATTTCTATGACTGCCCACGATTGGTTTCGTTGCATCGCTGTCTACGGAACCAGGCTTCTTGGGAGTTAATCCATCCGAAGATACGTTACTGCCGTCTGAATCTTCGGTAACAATGCTGATGGATCCTGATAAGGATGTTGTGGTACTTTGCAGAACAAGTGTGCTTGCATCAGATCCATCGTCGGCATCTTCACCGCCGATCGTTTCGGATGCAGGCTGTACTATGGCAGGGTTGACTGTTGATGGTTTGCTTGAGGCGACAGTAGAGACAATACTGCTTGAAGCGCCGCGGTCTCCTGAAGTCAACGAGGAAGACTCCAAGTCCGCTGGAAGTTTTACCAAATCACTTTTCAGGGCACTGTTCGATGCTTGAACGCATTTGGGAAGCTCAGTAGATGATGGTGCTTCAGTCTGCTCAAATCCAATATTCTCTGTTGTTGTCGAAGCAGGACGATTCTCGACATCTTCATTAGCAAGAGCATGCAGAATCTTGAGACCGTTGGCGGGAGGGATCTTAGTGTTCGACATTATTCCACTCGATTTTTTTTTAAAAAGTGTTTGGCATTCTATTTTTTCTTTGCAACTTTATAGATTGGAAGAGCTTAACTTCGAACCATGGTCATTGGAGACAAGGGCAATGGATTTCCGTGTGTTCGTAGTGGGATGTCGCATATGGTTGCTGTTGTTGTGTAGATAAACTTTGTGCCTTCGATCTTCTAACGTAGACGGAAGAAAGCGGTCGAACCAATGGACTCAATAGTGACTCCATGAACGACGGTAGGGCGACCGTCATCTCAGTATTGCACCTGCACAACCTTCGCGGTTGATGGACGAACATTGCGGCTTTTTATTTGCTTTATTTTAACGTTCAGGTACGAGTAACGAATACTCTTGTACCAATAGCACTGGTATTTGCCGGCTTCTTTATCGCTATGGACATCCAGTCGAAATTCAGCATATCTCTCACGAAAAGCCCAGCGTGGTAGAGGTGGTCATTTCCGACGGCATGAGAAATGGCTCGTTTGATCTTACTCTTGGTTTGATCTACTCTTGGTTTGATAGTATGGTAAATAAAGGTTTCATATGGCGGGCGGAGTGTCGAAAATCGTTCGACCCGCGCGGATCGCCCGCCCTTTTTAAAAATTACAATTTCATTCGACTTCGACGACCAGCCAGCAGCATTCGTTCGTTTGAAATCATTCATTCGTTTGAACTCAACTGGAAGACCATGTCTACCTCTCCGAAAGGACTCGAAAGACAGCGCATGGATCTACCAAGCTTTGACGCTGAAGAACCCTGTATTACAGAGGAACCCAAGAATCTGACTGAAGAGCTCGTTGATAATTTGGGCACTGGATTGGAACAAGTTGAAAAGCTTTTGCAAAATTTGGAAGACAATCCCGATTTGTTAGGTCCCGCCATTTTGAGAAAGTGCGATGAATTTGCTGATGGAGTTGGACAGGTGGTGAATGAATTGGAACGTCATACTGGTGAGCAGCGGTTGCTTCTGGCAGACGCTTGTCAACAAGATTGTGCCGTTATGGCGGTATCAGATCCCAATACCGTTGCGATTTCTCAAAACGACTGGGTGGATGCCTTGAGTGGTGCCGCTATTTTGCTTAAGGATGTACAATCTGCATTTCGAGATGTGGGCGCGGACGATGCTGAAGAGATTGCCGATGTGACTCTTGTTGTGGCTCGAATGTTCCTAATGAGTCTTCAGTCCTTCCATTCGTCCATTGATGAGCAGATTTCATCACATTCTGCACGAATTGAGGAGATTTCGGAGAATGAAAGAGGCGTGGGAGAGCTATCGGCTGCTGATAAAGACGATGAGTTTGCACAGGAAGAAGATTCCAGTACCAATAGGATAGGTAGTGATGAAACTTCGCAACCTACTTCAGCCAAGAGTAGGGGAGCAAAATCGAAATCTCAGAAACGGGTACGAGTGTTATGGCCTCCTTTAGGACCTCATGTTGCGGGCGCGTGCAACTGGGGAAAGGAAGAAGCTACAAAGAAGCCGATCTTGGCGGTGGCACTAGGAATTGTGCTCTTTCCAACAGCTGTGGCAACTACATTGGTAGGAGGAGGAATATTACTGGCGGACAACGCAATCCAGGGTGCGTACAATCATTTTCAAGAAACTTCTGTCATTGAGACAGTGGAAGTGGGTGCTTCACACTTGTACCATTCGTCGCGATTGTTGCTGGTTGCTGCCAAGTTTACCGGAAGGCAAACACTCCGCGTTGTCGGTAGACAGGTCGATCGACATGGAGGAGTGGGTAAAATTGCTCAAAATTCAGTCGGCTTTGTAGTCGACCGAGCTTTGCATCCAATTGAAACAGCAGGTATGGCATGGGATGGTTTGACATGGGGATTTGGAGTAGCTTCGGATAGTATTCAGTTAGTAATGGAACAAAAGCGAGATCAACGCGTTATGGAACAAGAAGTCCAATAGTAAGAAATGGATCCGTTCTATCGGGAAAGTACCCATTGCCAACCATGAAAACCTGCATAGCTCAAGGTTATCAAGAGTGCGAAGGAAACGCTCGACCATGCGGTTCGAAGTGAGAAGATTGCATATAAATGGACGCCAATTCGGTCCAAGACACAATAGTAAAATAGCATATAGATTGTCAAGAATATAGAAGCTGTCGCAACATCTCCCATATGCAACGATCTTCGAGGACCAAGGAATGCACCATTGATGGCTGCATAGGCAACGTTGAACACATGAAGTTGGCTCAATCGAAAGTTGGTCATGTAGTTCAGAAATTTGTTCCTTTTCTCGCGATCTTCAATGCACAGCAGAGTGACAGGAAATAATACAAAATTCCAAATGAAGAATACCAATGTAGCCGATAGCAAGGCCGGAAATCGAAGAATCTCGGATGCTAGTCGCACAAATGGTACAAAAGGAGCAAGCAGACAAAGACCATACCGTAGTGTAACAATCGTCCAAGACCATAACGTGAATGTTATCCACGCTATCTTACCCTTAGGCCCACGGGCATAGACATACCAGCATATAAATATCATCCAAAAGAATCCAGCAAGTGTCATGTACCAGTCTCGATCAAATGCCACATAGTTCTGTGGCATGTTATCTGCAAACAGCACCATAATTCCACCGTCTTTGTAGACTTCCATTCCAATCATCAACATAGCAGATAGCGTTATTGTTGCCGAAGATATTGAAATGACACTCAAAGGGCCACAGCGAAGATGCCGAGGAAGAAAATCAAAATAACCATCGTAGGAACCGCCTGGAATGAGCACCCACGGTTGGCTCCAGTCAAAGAAACGGGATAATGAAAGCTCCTTGATTGCCTTGGCCGCCTTCTCCTGGAAGTCTTTTTCAGCTTTGCTATCATCTGAGGATGAATTCAGGTGATCAACTATGCTCAATTCTCTCTTCCTCATCGTTGTCACAAAAGCATAGTAAAACTTGTCGTCATTTTTAGATTTTGGGACTATTGTAGTCCGACGAAGGGACACAATATAAAAAAATAAAATCTTTGCAAATTCTCTAACGTAGACGGAAGAAAGCGGTCGAACCAATGGACTCAATAGTGACTCCATGAACGACGGTAGGGCGACCGTCATCTCAGTATTGCACCAGCAACCTAAGTCCGATCTACACATATCGAACTTGTGTGCAAGTATACTGACAGAAAGATAGAGTTATTTCTTTCTTTCCCATCCCACCACACCCTGTTGGGCCTTGACACGATTGTTTCGTGTCAAGGCCTGGCAGACAAGCAAGTCTCAGATTTCACGTCTTACGGGAAATCTGAGACTGGTCCTTTGAGTCGCACGCTTCGCGCGCAACTCAAAAGGACCAGCTTCACACCACAACCCACCAGAGTCACTCCAAGAAAACACCAAGCAGAAGAACCCGAAAAGAAGGCGCCAGTTGGCTATCTTCGATAGAAATGAAAACAACGTCATGCGGATCTTTGAGGTAAACAGCCAGGGACCAAAGCTCCCGACTACATGCCAACGAAAATGATGGTTGTCCTACAAGATCTTGTCGAAGACATAGAGAAAAGTGGCAGCAGCTTGACAATCGACGCATCGACATTTAGCCCTCAACCTGACCGCGGGGCACTCCTGCTTCTCCTTGAGTCATGCTGGCGGACTACTTCTTCTCAATTGTCCCGAGATAAACGACGAATTGCCAGTTGCGGCTCTTGACTTTGGGACGAATTAGCGCTGAGATCAAGTGGCCTCCGTTTCCCGGATGTGCCGATGCAGCATGGCAGGCTCCCTTGAAGGATATCACCCAACCAGCACTATCATGATATCTTCCACATTAAAGTTTCGATGGAAGGTGAGACATTCTTTTCTCGCTGTACTACTGGTCACCTTGAAATTGGAATAGCGACGGAAATCTCTTGGAACCATGTATACTTCCTACCATATCTGTTGTTTTCTTTGTTTTTCATTTGCTATATTCTGCCTGGCGAAGATAGACTTATCTTTTGTATTACTATTGAATGGCAAACTCTACAACACGAAATTTGTTGGTCATCATAACACATTTCTCTATCTAATCGAGTTATATCTCCCCGAGTTCCTAAAACGTTTCATCATGTCTGCCAGACATTATACCTACAACAAAGAATTAGCCCGATAGCCGTCTACTTTCGGCGGTTGTGTCTTCTGCTGGATCCGCTGCTGGATCCACTGGAAACCGAAGACAAAGACGAGGAGGCACTTTTTGCAACTGGGGCAACCAATCGGGATCCTCGAGATGACGAGGCCGAAGGTGCCTTGGCCTTCTTAGCAGCTTTGGGAGCCTTCATTGAACTGTTATTCACGGCGGAAACTGGAACCGTTACTGGGGCCATGATAGGCACGGCGATAGGCACCATCACAGGAACAGTCACAGGAACAAAGGCGACAGGGGAATTCGACCCACTCGCAGCAGGAGCCGTACTCTGAGCTGTAGCACCAGCTACAACGGCGAGAAGAAGGATGGTTTTGTAGAATGCATTCATCTTGATAATCAACTTTGTTTTTCTTCTTTTGAAGGTAATAGTATGGATGCTCAATTCAGTTTTTGTAATTGTGAGAGTAGGATTTTGAAAACAAAGATTGGGCGATGGGAATGTTTCGAATTCGAATTCGGAGTCATCTTCATGCTGGCTCTTTTCAGTTGTTCGTTGGTTGGCAATCACATGAGAATTGTTGGAATTCTTGCTAGTATCTTATCAACGTTCAGACGAGAATGTCGTGGTTTGGATACGTTGACCGCGCATTCGGAGTCCAATCGTACATAATTTTTACACGCGTAGTATTGCACATATTGTAGAAAACTTCACAAATGTCGTTGGTCTGGAGGTCTTGGCCGCGTTTTTGGGTGTCAATCGTACATTATTTTTACACGTGTATTGCATGCACCTGTAAATATACGTGTATATATATTAGAGAAAATGCACAAATGTCGTTGGTTTGGAGGCATTAGTTTCGTACTATTCCAATCGTACATTATTTCTATTTTTTGAAAAATAACAATTAGGCACGATTGGACGAGGATCGGCGCAAGTGTCAGTCAACTAGTCTTGTCAAACAAGCTGTTGGACAGCTCTTGATTGTGCTCTTTCATCCCTAGCCCTTCAGCTCATGACAATGGAATCTTCACCATCACTATCAAATAGACTGGAGTAGTAGATGCTCATTTCAATGTCTGATTATCGTTGACTACTTGATTGGATGTTTTTTTAAATAAAAAAACGATTGAATGGATGGAGTTACTCGAAGTTGTGTGGTTGGGTGAGATTTATTCTCTTTGTAATCAGATAATCTATTTTGAGTTGTATGATCTATTGGATATTTGTACCACACACATACGATCCAAAACTCGTTATAGTATTAGTACAGGTAGACCGCAGGTTGTAGGACTGAACGACTACATTACACTACAATATACTTCCCCCATCTACTGTATTGGTTCTTTGTAGCACACCTCCAACACTTTTTGCCATCCTTGAAATCCACCATGACACATGGCAAAGAAGAGGGCATAGGAAATGACGACAGCGGGTGTTCGTGGGGAAAAGATTGGATACAAGTGAACGCCAATTCGGTCCAAGATCAAGTAATAAACCAAAACATATATAACCACCATGGTTGCAGCTGCAACTGCGTCTCCAGTATGAAGTTGTCTTCTTGGACCTACATATATCGTAACATAGGAGGCAATGAATATATTGCAGACATGCAACTGCGTCAGCCGGAAATTGGTCATGTAGCCGATGAACTTCTTTTTCTTTTCGGGATCCTTGATGAATACAAGAATGATTGGGAACAGTACAAAGTTCCAAAGGAAGAATGTCAAACTCGCAGACAGCATGGTTGGGAATCTCAACATATCCATTGGAAGCCGTGCTCCTGGCACAAAGGGTGCCATGACGGCCAGTCCACTTCGAACCACTATGCAAGTCCACGACCACACAGTAAAGGTAACCCATGCTCCTGCACCAACAGCACTATAATTCAAAATATGCCAACATAGAAATGCAGTCCAACTAAAGCATAACAACGCCATGTACCACTCTTGAGTAAAGGCAACGTATTCATGACCATGCTGATCTTCCTGAAAGTATTGCAAGAAATCGCCATTCAAAAAGGACAAAATACCACCACTCAAAAAGGATATAATCACAATGATTGCAATTGTCGCTACTGGACTCCATGGGCCTTGTCGATAAGTGGCGGGAATAAAGTTAAAGAAGCCCGAAAACGACCCATCGGGAACTAGCACCCAAGGTTTGCTCAGATCGAAAAAATCTTTGATAGAAATGCCATTGGCCGTCTGGGATATTTTATCGGGAGAGGGCTTTTTCTCTTCTTCTGTTGCATTGCCACCTTCCGAGGATGAATTCAAATGACCAATGATGCTCATGGTGATAGTTTAGGTAACATGAAGGATTATTGGGTGCGCCCGTGTTGTGGCAATAATGAGAGACGAAGAATGATCTTGACGAAGACGAGAGCAGGAGTTCCAAAGTGTTCGTAACCGTCCGATTGGAACTACGACATCGATTCGGACACGTGAATGAAAACATCCATTCATTCGTATTGCAGAAACTGACAGCAACAGCTACAGTACTACCGAAGCAAATGAAGATACTGTACAATACTGTAGGTACACTGAAAGAGAACTATAACAGAGGAAGTGGTGTATGCAAGTCAAGGGTCCAAGAAACCAGCATAAAACGAGATACAGAGGTTTTGTCGTAGTTGCCACAGAGGTCTTCCTTGGCTTCCTATCAAAGTGCCTACAGTACCTCCGTTGGTTCACCATCATGGGCAACGTTTCGACAAGGATAAAAAGGAAATTGTCCAGGCGGCGCAAATCGGGAGAGGATATTGAATCATCGAGTGAAGACTATCATGAAACGCAACAAACAGAAGAAACGAATGGAGAATCCCCGGCCATAAAGCAATCGCTTTATCGAGTAGGGTCCGTATCGGATGATGACTTGAGGGAATTGGACCTTGTCAATAGCAACAGTGGGGAAGGGAGTGAGCGGGAAGGAAGTCAGAGGGCTAGGACATCGACTTATGGAAACGTCAGAGATGCCGCCATGATGAATCTCTCAGCGGTCGAACCATCCAAACATGATCAAAGTGTTCCGATGGGTGTCATCGGACTTAAGAATCTCGGGAATACCTGTTTCATCAATAGTAGTCTGCAATGTCTCAGCGCGACAATTCCCTTGACCGATTACTTTTTGGGCTTTGATTATCGTTCCGAAATCAACAAGGAAAACTTTTTGGGGACGGGTGGGAAACTGGCTACTGCCTATGCGGAGTTGATGAAGAAAATGTGGGTCGGCACCAATTCGTCGGTTCACCCAGGAGAATTCAAATCACAGCTAGGGACCTTTGCACCACAATTTGATGGATATCGTCAGCATGATTCGCAAGAGTTGCTGGCCTTTTTGCTGGATGGAATTCACGAAGATTTGAATCGGGTAAAGAATCGACCGTATATTGAGGACAAGGATTGCGACGGGAAGAGTGACGAAAAGGATGCCATCGAATCATGGAAGAATTATCTGCAACGGAACAAGTCTTTGGTGGTAGATCTATTCCAAGGACAGCTGAAGAATACCTGCACGTACGTCCAATTTGCTGATTGTTGATTGCTCATTGTTCTTTGTCACCTGGATTTCTGAACTGACACATGATTCATTCCTGCAGATGCCTGACTTGTGGTCACAAAAATATCCGTTTCGAGCCATTTATGTATCTGTCGTTACCGATTAACAGAAAGTGTCGGTCCATAGAAGATTGCATGAAGATTTATTTGCAAGAAGAAACCTTGACGGGGATGAATCAATGGTATTGTTCCAAATGCAAAGAACATCGGGATGCTACCAAAAAGACTGATTTTTGGATCTTGCCTCCAATATTGATTGTTCACTTGAAACGATTCAAATATGATGAGACGGGACAGGTTGGGTCGAAAAATGAACAACCCATTCAGTATCCAGTGTCACAGTGGGACCTCAAGTCCAAAGTGAAAAGTCGGGGTACGATATATCCGAAATATGATTTATATGCAGTGTCGAACCACATGGGGGGGTTGGGAGGAGGACACTACACAGCGCTTGCTTTGAATCGATTTGATGACCAGTGGTATGAGTTTAATGATAGCTCGTACCGGAGTGTTGATGCATCAGTACACCGAGACCATCACAAGACGGCGTATGTTCTATTCTACAACAGATCAGAAGGGGATTCCAACATGCCATTGAACGATCGAGCGCCAGTGATTCGCAGACAGAGTGTCAGTCGACCAGATCTCTGGCCACATACTCAAGTGGATGACCCAAGTCAAATTAGAGCCTTTAGAAGATCAAGAGCGTACTCTGGGGAATACAAGTCGGGATTGAAAGGAATGGGAAGTCCATTACAATCACCAAATTCACCTCGCAGAGCCGCCCGTGCTGGTACCATGTCAATACCACAGTTGCCGATATCACCTGTGTCACCTCGTCGACAATCTCGGATTGACAAATTGTTAGATGAAGGAGAGGAAAAACCGTCTTCCGAACGGAAGAAAGAACGGAGAAAATCGCCAAAAGACAAATCAAATCGACAACATTATCGACGATCACGAAGTCGTTCTGGAGACTATAGTCGAAATTCGAGCCGATCGGGGTCTGAAGAAAGAGCGTCCAATAAATTGCGAAAAGGGAAAAAGAAGAAGGAGAGATGATGATCAGCTTTGACAATGATGGGTTCACGACTTTAAGACTACATGCTGCACTTTTAGGGCTGTGGCCAATAAGCAATGAAGCGGATGCTTGATTTGTCTAGCCATGATCTGATGTACTAAACATCACAAACGTTTTTGAATCGAACGAACATGGTTGCCCTATTCTGCAGACTCAAACTGCTTATGCAGCACGAGAATTGCCGGGTCATTTTCATCTTGTCCAGTAATGGAATAATCCAAGTTTTTGTACATTTCTATTGCCCCATTGTTGTCGCCCTTGACGCGAATCCAAATTTCCGGTCTAGGGATTTGTTTTGTAAACTCTTCACAAGTTTTGACCAGCCTATTGGCAATTCCTCGTCGTCGAAAGTCTGGATGCACACATAAATCGGATAAGTATGGTCGCGGGAGCTTTATTTTTGTCTTGCACGGCCGTGCATCGATATCCACAAATCCAACCACCATCTCGGTTTCCTCTTCGACTGCGACTAACATTTGGTGCAATTCTGTGTCTTCATAGGGGTAGTTTTGTTGCAGGCGATTTAGCTCTGCCAATATATACACTCTTTTCCAAGGGCTTGTCTTGACTTTCGCATCGTAGAAAGCTTCGAGTATCATGCCTGAAACTAGCTTTAGCTCGGCATAACTGCAACTTCGGATGTCAATAGTGCTTCCATTCTCATCCGACGTTGAAAATATCCGAGAGTTGGAATTGTGAGAAGAGGTCGGGGAATATATTGGAAGTATCCAAGAATCAGATTTTGAAACCAAGAGTATCAGAAAGAAAAGGTACTGTAATTTGGGATTTAGAATTGAAATCATCGGGAGTTTGTCGTTGTGATGATGTGGTTTGTGGTTGACATCCACCAAGTCGGACTTATTTAGTCGAAAGCTTCATTTTTCTGACGTCACGGAATGATGTAGTTACTTTCAACTTGAATTTATTTTCATTTCCCGATCGCACATCAAAGCTGAAGAACATGACACAGCGAGATCAGAGTCGATCACGCTCATTTGTAATCTGCATCGCTGTGGCTCTTTGTGCGATTGCCTTTTCCATCGCAACTTCTGGGGGCATTGAGTATGCACTTGACAAAGAATTACCGACATGGTCCCGAGACAAGGCAGTCCTGATCACGGGCGCCAATGCTGGACTTGGCCTGGCCACAGCCCTCCGCATTGCCCGTGCTGGAACAGCCAACACCATTATTCTAGCGTGTCGGAATCCAAGCAAGTGCCAAGTGGCTATGCAGGACGCAGTATCGATATTGCCAGAGGGCGCAACCACTCGAGTCCTGACTGTTGAACTGGACTTGTCGAAACGAGATTCCGTCATGAAAGGAGCCCACGCCATCCAAGAAGCGCTCTCAGACCAGGAAACGGCTGACCAGGACGTTGTTCCAGATCTGGATGTCTTGATCAATAATGCGGGAGTAGCGTTTGCCTGGAATTCAAAAGAGTTTGTCGAGGGTGTCGAAACGCACATGGCGATCAACCATTTGAGCCACTTTTTGTTGACACATCGTCTTTTGCCAAACCTATTGGCAGCTGCAGGAAAGCGAACAGGTGCAAATATGTCTCCGCCTCGCGTAGTACACGTGTCATCGCTGACGGCCATCGGTTCCTGGCGGGATGTTTCGTTGGGCTGGAAGAATCCAAATCCAAGGAAAGCCATGGGCAGATGGTTCAACTTTTTCGATTGCATTCGATATTACAGCCAATCGAAACGAGCCAATTTGATGCAAACTTGGGAATTACACAAGCGCTATGAAGGCGCTGGAATCATTTCTGTGGCCGCTCATCCTGGATACACGCGAAGTGAAATATTCAGGAAAGTCCAAATGCCATTGTCTTCTGGTTGGATCAAAGAGTTGGCGACTAAAAATCCCTACTTGAGCATGTCCACTGACGATGGGGCTACCATGCAACTGATGGCCGCGTTTGCACCACCGGATATTGTCCCTAGCGGGTCCCATGTGGTTCCAAAGTACTGGACTACTGGTACACCGGTTCTGATTCCAAGGCTGCTTTCTGGGTTTAGTTTACACTACAATTCGTTTTCCGAAAAGGACACCGCCAATCTTTGGGATGCTAGTATGAAAGAGTTGGGAATTGAGGAGTTTGGAAAGCTGGAATCAGGCATGGCTTGATTTGAAAGACTGCGACAATAGGCTTTCGTTTGTGTTTCAAAATTGGAAGTCCGCAAGACGCAACCGCGACGTCACAGAAACTACATATGCTATCTAGTTTTCTTTGCGTAAAGAGCCTTGATCCGGTGATGTTCGTTCCTTGATTCTCGCTCTTTCTGTGACCACTGCGAAAAGCTACCAAGACCAGGAAAACCCAAACCATAAAGATGTGATGGTGAACGAGACAGGAGCTCTGATATCGAGACGTACATGTCTTCGTGAGATCTTGCCAGGTCAAAATGATCTGGTCCATATAACTGAGATTGCAGATCGATCAACTGGTATGCCGATTGGACTTGCCGACACAAAATCAATACAAGAGCATTCTTGGGCAATTCGTTTGTCCGGCGGATCGCATCGCAGACGTCCAAATGCAAAATCAAACCTCGAACCAAAAGTAAATGATTTGAACTCAAATGCTCTTCTGACTGCTTACAGAGTTCCTGAATGGATAGCTCTAACGCCTTCAGGACCTCCTTTCGTGATTGGTCAACTGATGCGAGCCCAACCAACTCGGGAAGCATTGCTTCGAATTCATCGAGTGACTTTTCCACTCGAAGTGTTGGACTGTCGTCGTCCACACGGTCGACCGCTGATGGCGGCAATTCGTCATTTACTAGCTCCATAGCACGGAAAGGTTCTTCCACGTCCGCCGAAATGTCGAAACGATGTTGGTTGTAAAGATGATGGCGTCTTGAGGCGTGTGACATGATGTTTGGGCAATAGTTGATTGTGAGTATCTCTCCAGGTTGGACTTCTCTGGTTGTCACAACCTCGGAAAAGGTCTGATCGCCTTCTGGACGTAGTTTCGCACAGTTTGGAAAGCAACTGTGATTGAGCATTGCGGCATACAAGTAGACTCCACTTTCCAGTCCATTGTATCTAATGCACAATAGCATTCTTAGAACATCAGCCTCTGACACGGCCGAGTTGTCGCGACAGACGATTTTTCGATTCTCTGCAAGCTTTGCCAGTTCTGACACCTCCAACTCTTCGCATTCATTTTTAGTTTCCTCCATCATGGGCCATAATTGTTCGTCCGAACTGTTTTCTTCGTTTGGTCCTTGATCAATAACACTCTTCAGCGGATGAAACGACTCGAGCCAGTGTACTAGATTCAAAGCTTTATCATTTTCCAGAAGAAATCGTACGGTGGAGAGGTCCAGCTTTCTGCCAACTTGGTCTTGGTGCCATTCCATAACAGGTTCTTCCACCAAGACTGTAGTTCCAGGGTCTAGTTTCTTTCGCGCACAAAATGCCCTCCCTCCGCCAAACTTTGGTATGATGTACACTGCAACAGCCGAATCATCAACGAATAGTGGATTGGGCCAAGGAAAGTTGACTGCTTCCAGATTGGAAATATCGACCAAATCTCTTTGGATCGACGGTAATGATGATTCAACAGGAGAGGCTCGAAGAGTATTTTCCGAAGTTATTGGCTGCTGCTGAACCAACCCATTTGCTTCATTGATCAGCGAGCTGGCAACTTCTACTGACTCTGTATTCCTTCCTTGATTATTCTCATCTTCACTGTCTGAGTCGCTTCCGAAAACATCAAATGGATCACTCATGTTACTGGTTGTGGTGGGTGCGGTATTTTATTTTGTGCGGTGATCGATTGAACCTGTGAATGAATCGGAAGAGTCGACTGCCACTCACAGCAATATAATCTAATCATAATATCCCAATCTTTCATACTGTAGGTACTCGTACCTGAAAGTTCCGGAACCAAGACGATGCCAAACCAAGAATCATCATCGAATCAAGAGATCAGCAATCCACTCAGAAAACCGCTGACTTTACCATGTGGGGCACTATTGAAAAATCGCATCATCAAGGCTTGTATGTCGGATTCGTTAGGCGAATGTGGCTGCCCCACAAAGCCTCAGATTCGACTGTATGAACGATGGGCCGAGGGAGGCGTGGGGCTTTCCTGTGTGGGAGAAGTTCAAGTCGATCCACGCTATCCAGAGAAACCGGGAAATTTGGTACCTACGATTACAACTGATACTGTTCCTACCGACGACGAGAAGTCGTCCCCCAACGGGTTGTTTCGAGAATTGACACGTAGGGCGACTATCAATGGAGCTCATTTATGGGCACAACTCGGTCATGCTGGGGCGCTGACACATCTTCCAGTCAATCCTGTTCCCAAAGGTCCATCACCATTGAATGTCCCGGGGTTGTCGTGTGAAGGAATGTCGCTAGAAGAAATTCAGTCCTTGCCTCGCAAGTATGCTGCCACCGCGCAACGGTCCAAGGAACTGGGCTTCACGGGTGTCCTTATCCATGCAGGGCACGGCTTTTTGCTCAGCCAGTTCCTTTCTCCCCTTTTCAATAAAAGGAACGACGATTATGGTGGGCCGATTGACAGGCGATGTCGATTGATACTTGAAATCATACAGGCGGTGCGAAAAGTCGTCGGACCTACCTTTCCGGTCGGCATTCGATTGAATTCGACAGATCAACTGGAAGGCGGCTTAATCCAAGAGGAGGCTCTGGAAGCCGTTCGATTGCTGGATACGACATCAATCGATTTGATTGATATAAGTGGTGGAACTTACTTTCCCGGAGCCAAATCGGCCGGAGACGGGAAGGGTGAAGGTCCCTACTTTCTTGAATTTGCCCGCCGGGCTCGCGCACTCACAAACAAACCACTGGTCCTCACGGGGGGATTCAAGAAACGCCATCAAGCATTAGAAGTCCTGAATAGTGACACAGTTGATGCCGTCGGAATAGCTCGAGCCCTAGCCTTGAACCCTTCGTTGGCTACTGACTGGATGGCCAATTCTAATGCAATGACTACGAATGTAGATCCGACCTTTCCCCGCTTCCAGGAAACGGTGCCTGGTGGTATTACGGCCTGGTTTACCATGCATTTGACTGCGTTAGGAGAAGATCGGGAAAACATATTCGACATGGGCTTGGCAACGGCACTAGGTGAGTACGAGGAAAGAGACGCACAACGAACTCTTGAATGGCGACAACACTTTTCAATGTCGAACTAGACTGGTGACAGGAGTTAGCATACTTTCAATTGAGTTCATTCAGTCGGTTTTAGTAGTGCTGGGTTTAGTTTATTGTCATTTGTTTTTCGTTTCCGTTCCTACATTCCCATGCCACCCATCTTCGGCGACATATGAACAGAGGGACCAGCTTCACACCACAACAACCCACCTGGGAGACTGAGAGTGAGTCACTCCAAAGAGCACTAAGCAGAAGAAGCCGAACGGACAGTGCCAGATGGCTATCCTCGATCGAGCTAAGGAAGCCCGTATGTCGTTTCGTACGAATCGCTTACAGTACTGCTTGATAGTTACTCTACTGCTGCCTACTAATAGCTACAATTACTATCTACTCGTTTTGATGCGATGACACGCCGTTACGCGGAAGAAAAGGATCTTTGGCGATGTAGTGCAACATGAGTCTACAGTGCGAGATGTCTTCGATTTGTTTTTTGTTTTGGTGTTGTACTTTGGTAGTTAGTTGTGTCTGGTGTTACTTTTATTTTCTGGTTTGGAATGCCGCCATCCAATCCGTCACCAAAACATTTTTCACAAAGTTTCCACAGTCTCGACTCATCCGGATCACTTTTTTAAAAATCCGTAGATTTGAATTCGTAAGAGCCGTCAACCATACCCACAGTATTTATACCGTACTATTGTGTACGATCATGTTGCTAGTAGTGTAACTATTCACATACAAGACAACGATGCCATAGCAAGGTCGGAGGCTGTCATGCACACTAGTGATAAGCAGTGCTGTGATAGTATATGCGGCCACATTTTCTCCAGCGGCGGATCTCATATGTTCTAAAAGTTTCAAGTTCTACCCCAACTGCCCATTCTGAAAAAGTCTATTATTTTCTGGCTTACATGGTTTTTACACTACAAATCTTTCACCGAGAAAGACAAGTGTTAGTCTTTTGGGATGCCAGTATGAAACAGCTGGGAATCGAAAACTTGGAGAGAGTCCTTGCAAGTTGTAGCTAGAATGCTCCACGCCTTCACATTGACACTCTTGACAGAGGTACAACCTCAGGCTGGAATCAATCGGAGGTACAACCTCAGGCTGGAATCAATCGGCTTTGCATAAGCGGCATCCCCGCCAATAGTCTTTTGGCGGACATCAGATCGCGTTTCTCCTTTACCCTTAACAGCTCTAGTCACACGTATCGTTTATTTCTTGTCTCAGGGAGCTGCTGTAGGTGCCACAAAATGATCCCCTTGTCCCCGTTTATCACATCTGCAATTGTTGTACACATCAAATGAATAGAAACCCAACTCAATCGCCAATTCACCCTCTTGTCCCCATTTTTCAAACGTCATTCGTCATTTATCCCTTGACAGACGCAGCCTCAAAGGACGCTCGCAGTGCCTCGAATTGTCCCTTTTTGGTGTACTTTTGAAAGGATGTCGGATCTCGTGTGGTTCGAGGTTTTCCTACGTCTCCCACCGACGAATCCTTTGCTGCATTAAGTGCCCCAGAAGTAGCAAAAGTGGAGTGCTGGTTTTCCTTTGGAGTATCAGGGATTTCTGGTATCGGCATTTGGATGGTTTCTCTCCAATTCTTGATGAGTCGCCAAATGACCTTTTCCGTCCATACTGACAAATTCGAGTCAATAGCATATTGTGGTAGCATCTGCTTGTAAATGACCTCTGTAGAGTCATCTTTGGATGGCTGTGTTGCTTCATCTAATTCAAAGACTTCGCACATGAGATCCACCAAAGCGGCAATCAAAGGATCCTTGTTTGGCAATTTTGCAAACATGTAATACGGTGTAATCCCCATATTGTCCGCCTCTTCAATCCCATCTGGATATGCCCCATACAACATGCTGACAGCCCCAGCATTTGCCGATTCCATAGCATAGTGCAGTGGTAATCTTCCTCGATTGTTCGTTTCTTGCGTAAGTTCCGGGAACCGTTGAATCATGGCCGCCACTAAAATGTTACAACGTCCTATAATGGCCCGGACCAAGGGTGTTTCTCCGTCCTTATCTTCCATACGAATGGATTGTGGATATTTCTTCATGAGCCACACACGTGCTTCTAATTGATCCCGCTGCATGGCATCAATGACCGGCTGTGGATTGGTGGTGGGCGGCATGAGATTGACCGCCAAAGTGTCGCGATCCGTCTTGGCCTGTAGGCATAAAGGATGCATTCGCCACAGGAATTTCACCAATTCCAAAACACCAGGACCCTTGCAAAAGACCATGACAAAATGCAATGGCAACCATCCAGACTTGTTTTTGGCATTGGCCACATCGTCGCCATTGACATGAGCCTTTTGCAATTTCTGTAACAGGTCGACACAATTGTTTCGATGTTTGCGGATTTCTTCCAAAATGTCCAATTTGTTAGCCATTGTTTTATTGTGAAACTTGTAGACTGATAGGGATAACGGATGGATTCTAAAGAATTTGTGCTCTTGTGTATGTGTGTGTCAATCTTTGTTTCGTTGGTCTATATACCGGTATGACAAGAACAATAACCACAGCAACAATAACACCAACACGATAATGAGAAGCGGCCAAAATCACACGAAATCCGACCGTTTGTTTCATTGGTCGTGTGTGACACGAACACGTGCTTGCTCTCAAGACTCACTCACCATGACCCATGAGTGAGTATAAGGAGGGATAAAAGGGGGGCACAATTATGAGCAACAAAACACAAAAAGATCGACAACAATTTAAATAACGATGACGACCATCACTCCACCATCCCAGCCAAATAAACTTCACGTTCTGGTCATTGCTCATCCGGACGATGAGAGCATGTTCTTCATTCCTACCATTCAAGCACTCCGCCAAGCGGGTGAAACACTGTGGATCCTATGCTTGACGACTGGAGACTACGATGGCTTGGGCCAGCAACGCGCCAAAGAAATGCAGCAAGCCTCCAAACTGCTTGGATTTGAAAAGTGCATTATTCGTAGTGATAACAAAACAACAATCCAAGATCATCCGTCCCAACGATGGAAGATTTCGGATGTTTCACAGGCCATTGAAACGGCATTGGCGGCGGAAGAACATCAAGCTAGCATTTCCAACTATCAAGCATTGGTCTTGATCACCTTTGACGACATGGGAGTCTCGGGGCATGTCAATCACATTGACACTTATTTGGGAGTCCAACAATTCTTGATTTCATCAACGTCTCCACGACTACCAAAGATGTTGGAAGCCTGGCAATTGGAATCCGAATCCAATCCAATCCGAAAGTACATTCCTATGCTGTCGTGGATTTATCTGTTGCTATCCTTGATATTTTCCCAATATCGCAACATTAGTATCCAATCCAAAGATACTCAATGTCGTATATACCGGTGTCACGAACCAAACTTGAATTGGAATGCAATGGCAACCCACCATTCTCAATTTGTTTGGTATCGGAGATTGTTTGTGGTCTTTAGTTGTTATACCTACGCGAACGTACTCCGAAAAATGGAGTCGACAACAACATTTACGACAGCAAAGAAGACGGAATAATAGGTGACATGGTACACATGGTACACATGGTACACATGGTACACATGGTAGAAAGCAAGAGCAAGATGAACTTGGAGCTGCAATCTGACACAAGGGGCTGCTGTGAAAGTTATGTCAAAGATGTGGTCACCAGTTTGGCGTCGATCCCTCAGACGCAGTGACATGATGATTTGCTCGGTCCAATATCTTTTTCGGAGTATCGACTACGAATGGATGCTTAGCGACCAAGACGATGCAAAGGTGCTAACTAGTACACCAAAATGTGGAGGTGTGGACGAAATCTGAGCAGCTGAAGACGGATTCGCAAAACTACAATGTTGCTTGGTCGACTGCACAAAAAGAGGGGATGTTGAATCTTACCGCTGTTGATCAAAAATAAGGATGTACTGTATTGTATTTGGTATGGTTCGGCGATCCTTCCCTGGCTCTTTGTTGCATGTACGGGTCCTATCCGATTGATCCGATCCGATCCTTCAAGCATTGCTTCGCGAACAACTGGACTAAATGAATCGAATAGGTCGATCATTCCCAGGGATAAAAACTCACTTTCTCATTTTTTGACATGAACACACACACACAACTTGAGTCAAAAACGCTTTAACATAATCCTTGCTACCAAAGGCACCAGACCGAAGCCGACTTGCTCAACATCCATCTAAAAGTGGGAAAGAAAGGAAGAAGATGTCAAAAGCTTCAAAATCAAGTGGAACAATGTCAAACAAACAAAATATCAACAGTCATCCCAAACCACCAATTCCTTCGCATAAAAACAACAGGGACTCTATTACTTCCATCACCAGTCGCACTTCCAATAGCGAAAGTGCTCTGACCATCGTGTATCCTATACTTGCAAATAGTGATCACGGGAACCACAAGGAAGACGCTGATTCTAGCACTCTCAACCCAACAAATATAAGAAACCGTTCGGTGTCATCATGGGACAGTGCCATTACATATAACACAATGAATAGCACCAGATCCTCAGTCCAGTATACATCCGATGATGGCTCGTCTTCCTTGTTGTGGGATGAAGCAAGGAAATCGGCTATCGATCTTTTGAAGGCTGACAATTCTCGGTCCGAACATGCCACATTGGAATTTACCATCAACAAGCTGGACATCAAATCTCTTGGTATCATTGGAAGGGAACGAGAATTAAGATTACTGAACGCCGCTTTTCAAAGATTAACTGGATGTTACGACGATTCATTTCCGCAGGCTTCAAGTCGTTCATTCAATTCAGGTTCTGAAAATGAGATTGTTTTCATTTCCGGGCCTGCCGGAATTGGCAAGTCGACCTTGGCGCAGTCGTTGAAGAAGAAAGCAATTACTACAAACGTGGCCTTTGCCGAGGGAAAGTATGAGTTTACTTCTATCCACGAGCCATACTCTGGGGTGGCTCAGGCCTTTGGTGAATTATGCAACAAGTTCAAGGACTATCCGGCAGAAATTGTTGCCGATTTATCGCAAACCATTCACAAGACCATGCGAGAAGAATTCAAGATGCTTTCAGGTCTGATTCCGGAACTCGGAACCTTTTTTGAAGACGACGAGCAAGGTGATCCCAGCTCTCACAGTCGCCTACCGATTCATTCGACAGGGAAGGAACACGAAAGGTGGAAGTATGCATTTCGTATATTGACTCGAATACTCGGTTCCCATTTCTCTGCGCTTGTGATCGTTCTAGATGATCTTCAGTGGGCAGATACGTCATCTCTGGATATTTTGGACCACTTAATATCCGACATCCAGAACCCACAACCGTTGATGATTATTGGGTGTTATCGATCAAACGAAGTCGACGACAACAGCATCCTTTACAACCGCATGCAAACACTTCAGGCGAAGAGCGAAAAGTTTGGCTTCAAAATCACTGATATCAATCTTCAAAACTTTGATGTCGATTCTGTGAATACGATGATTATGGCAATGTTATCAATTGACGACGAATCGAAAACCCGAGATCTAGCAGAAGTATGCTTCAAGCGTACTTTGGGAAATCCTTTCTTCTTGATTGAGTTCATGAAGATGCTTCAGGCAGAAGGGTTGCTCCAGTTTAATCTAGGTATATTGAAGTGGGTATGGGCGGTGTCACGAATTGAAGATGCGACCATGTCGACAGCAAACGTGGTCGATCTGTTGCAATCCCGAATGAGGAAACTTCCGGCCGATGTTCAGTTACTCTTGCAGTATGCAGCATGTCTTGGATCCTCCTTTGCTGTTTCAACTTTGAGGTATGTTTGGAAGAAACATGCATTGTTGAACTTGGATGGTGCAAATCCCAGCGTGACCAGGTTGCTTAGAATTGTACAGAACGAAAAGCTGATCGAGCCGTGTGGTTCGGGCGAGTACCGTTGGGTCCACGACAAGGTTCAGGAGGCAGCTTTGTCGTTATCGGACTTGGTGACTCATTCGTTCCAGTTTGACTTGGGGATTTGTTTGTATGAAGGGTTGCCAGAGCCACAGCTGGAGAAGCAACTATTCGATGTTGCCGATCTTGTCAACAAGGGCATTGGTTGGGAAAGGCCTGATCTTTCCAAGTTGAATCTAAGAGCTGCAAAGAAGGCTCGGAAGATGGCAGCGTTCGAAAGCGGATCTCGTTATGTTGCCAATGGTATCAAGCAGCTATCTTTCGACTCCTGGGTCACAAATAAGGAGCTGACATTGGAGTTGTACTCGCTCGGTGCAGAAATGAATATGACGCTTGGAAAGATCGCTGTGGTGCAGAGTTACATCGCTGCTGTACTTGATCGGGAAGGCCAACACACGCCGATGGAAACTGTTTTCATTAAAATGATCAAGCTTGAGATTCTGAACACTGTTGAACTTTGCCACGATGAAGCCGTCAACTATGGTGTAAAATTGCTCAAAGAGATTGGATACAGCTTTGTTTGGAGGCGACGAGGGTTGTGGGGTGCTCAAGCGTTGGCGTTGATCCTGAAAACCGCCAGAAGGCTCGAAAAAATCCCTGTGGATCATTTCAAAACCATCGGAATGATGAAAGATTCGAAACACCTGGCCATCGCCAGTATGTTGTCAATGCTGCATGTAGCGTCGCACAACGGGAACGATATCTTCTTCAACTTTCTCTGTGTATGCAAGGTGGGTGATCGGGGAGATGTGGATACTTCTATTGCAAACCGTGCCAACCTGTCTGCTTCCCTAAAACTCTCCCTTTTATTTGCTAGGTGATCGAAACGACGCTGGATCATGGATTGCATACATACTCTGCAGCTGGGTTTGCAAGTCTTGCCGCAGTCGTGATCTTCTTGAAGAATGACAGTGCGAATGCGTCTCGTTTCTGTGACATTGCATTCTTGATTCAAGAAAAGGTTGGCATTCGAAATGCAGCTGAGACGCTACACATCAGCTGGGGATTTGTGTTGTGCTACACCAAGCCGCTTCATGAAGCTCTCAATCCAACACTTGACGGGTACTCCAAAGGCTTGAGGGATGGGGATAATGGAGGTGCAATGTTGAATCTTCTGCTCCGCTTTGTCTACCTCCCATATATCATGGGCAAGAATCTTGGATCCATAGTCGAAAAGTTTCCAACCATTGCGGCGCAGTTGGAAGAATCGGGTCGCACGAAGGAGCTATTGGCGCTTCGGGCGTGTTGGCAAATGATACTGAATCTGCAATTGCCACCCAATGAGGCCTCAAAGAAGTTGGAAGGTGAAGTGTATAGCCAGTCGTCAGAGACTTCTCAAATTCCTTGGAAAGTTGCGAACGAGAATCTCGCAAATGGGGAGCTTCTTCTTTTCTTCTCAGATCACGAAGCACGGACAAAGCGGCTTATGAATGAAGAGAAAGGAAAGACATACTCCGAGCTAATCCAGGGATACTTCCCAAGCCGTATCGAAACGTTTCATCGAGGCATTGCACTGTTTGCTACGGCTCGACACACACGACGCAGAAAGCACATGTCCGAAGCGATGAAAGTCAGGAAACAGATAGCGAAGTGGGCAAAAACAGGAGACCCCAATATTCAACACTATCATCTACTGTTGAATGCTGAAGTAGCAGTCTTAGAAAAGAGATTCACCAAAGCAGATGCTTTGTACAAGCAGGCTATCTGTCGTGCCGCTCGAATTGGTCACATTCACCACGCTGCCCTGTTTCATGAGAGGTTTGCGGAATATCGGTTGGAAGTGCGTGGTGATAAAGACGACGGCAAGTACCACATGGAGCAAGCGGTTCGGTATTACACTGAATGGGGAGCGGTTGGCAAAGCGGAGGAGCTGAAGAAAGTTGTGAAGAATTTGTGATTTCCATTGATTATATGGATCGGGCGGAAGATCAGCCACGAGGAGTTTTCAAACAACCATGCAAGGATTGTGAATTGAGGATGAATGGGGATAAAATGATTTTAGAATAGTACTTAGTTTGTTTCGACGATCGATTATTTTTAAAGACACTACAGTATGATACTACTACATACCGTACGAGGTACAGGGTACATGCATATAAATGTAATCGTTACTGTATTACAATGTATTTGACTTACGAAGTAGTATGTATAAATGATGATAGTGCAAATCAATTGTATTCTTAAAAAGAGTGCTACCATCGTCAGATCGACGTGCTTCCCTGGAGGCCGATTTGTCCTTACTACTTACGGACTCTAGCGATCGTACACTTGCACGACAACATGATCGATCTCATATTCAATAGCACAGTCACCTTTATTTGCATGTACATGCAAGGATGGTACCGCGGGAGGAGACTTTTGCAGGTCCTCCAAAATGAGACTTTTTCAGGTCCAAATCACATGTTGATGCAACTGTCAAAACATGGTTGATGCTGTGCAAACTACGAAGTTGCTTCTGACAGTCAGCGGAGGGCTGGAAGACTTTGCTGAGAAACAATTAAAATGGTGTTTCCATAACATCGTTGACTTACACTGGCACAAGGGGCCCTCTGGCTCTCAACTGTACTTGACTTTTGCCTCGAATAGCACCGTGAAAGAAGTGGCAGATGCTGTCAATCGATTGGATTTTGTCGAATATGTGTTTCTACAAATCGATTGCTTTCCAACGCATGCTTCAAAAGGTTGTACTTTAGAAAAAGAGTTTTCGCTCCTGCTTCGAGAAGTTGAAACTGCCACATCATCGATTTCGAAATCGGCATTGGACATGTGTGAAACTATCAGCGACGCTATCGATGCTACTCGAGGTTATGACGTGGGGATGGGAGGCCTAACTGGTGCTCTACTTCCAACACCTGAAAGTCTCGTGGATTATCCCCTTGGAACTCATAAAGTCGCATATGATTCACTTGACGTGAACACAATATATACGATACCAAGTGCTGCACAATCAATTGTCAAAACTGTCAAAAATCACGTTTACAACCAGCCCAATACTCATTGTGACGAAAACAAGATTCTTTGGATAGACGCTGGATCTGGAAATGGAGCTTTTCTTAATCATCTTCCAGACAACTCTTCGATAGGAGTCGATACCAAGCCGCAATCGGCGAAGGTGCAGCAGATGGATTACTTGAGTCTTGACAGAAGCTGGCTGGAGAAAAAGTTCCCAGATCACGAAAAGTTGTTTGTGATTTCGAACCCACCGTTTAGCCTGTCTAGCCGGGGTGACTACACTCCAATTGTCCAATTCATCAATTACACTTTTGATATCCTTCGGGCTGAAGCAATGGCTGTGATTTGTCCCTCCAAGTTTGCTAGACCAAGAATCTGGAAAGCCCTAGGCTTGACGGCCGATGCAAACCTAACGGGACGCTTCTTCCTTCCCAAAAATGCATACTACAACCCGTCAAATGGAAAGGCTGTTGATATTCATTCCTACTGTTTGATTTTTGAAAGCACGAGAACAAATCGAAAGAACGACGATGAAGAAGCTGAAGCGTCTAGTCCGCATGCAAGTCCACATGGGGTGTACGTATCTTCGAAACGCGACAAAAGCATTTTCCCGGGACTGGCAACTTTAGATCTTACAAAGGCCATTGCGACTGGCCTTGATAGAGCTAAAGTGAAGCTCGTACCTGAACGCAAGGCTAGACATTTTATCCAAGGGAAGCTAGAACCATCGAGTTTGGAGCTTTGGTGGCATGTCAATCCCAACCAACCTTGTTCTGTGGTAAACTCCTCGTCGATCAAAGTTCCAAAACATAGTCTGGGTTGGTTATCTCTATCTTGCAAGCCTGGGGTTGCTTTGGCCATGTCGTCTGCTGCCATGAACAAGACGAAATCAGATGAAAAGTGTCACGTTGCAATTGACATCCTGAGTGGAGAAGGGACTGTTTCGTTAGAAGCTTGTAGGGCTGTTTCGAACTCCTTTTTCCTGCTTAGTGGTGACAAAAGCTTTGAAAGATCACTGAAGACAAAGGAACACATGCTCAAGTTACGACAAAGCACAAAACACCCGTTGCTGGTTGATGTAGTTGTTTGGGATGCAAACGCATTGCCTATTCGAGAAGATGTTGCGGATGCTGTATTTGCCGATCTCCCGTTTCAAGGCAGTACCAAGAATAGCCACCAAGAACCAGTTGTTGGGGGTGATGCGGAAGGTTGGAAGAAGGATGTTACTCGTCCAGTTTCTTATTCAGATATTTTGCGTCACGCATGCAGAGTGTTGAAGCCAAAGGGACGGGCAGCGCTTCTTAGCCCTGACTTCAAGGCTCTCCGACACGCCGCTGGGAAGTATCACTGGAATTCTCTGTGGCATAGCAAGAGTGTCAATCTTGGAGGTTTGTCAGGGAAATTGTACTTGATGGAGCGTCAAGAAGCATCCACAAAAGACTTGAGTATGTGGGTCACACCGACAACTACCGATCTAAGCGATTGGATACTTCGTATTGCCCAAGAAGCGTGTTCCTCTGAGGTATCAGAAATGCTGCCACTGCTCTCGCTAAAAGTGAATCCAGTCAGGAGTGTCACTTTAGGGAGTACTTACTTTCACGAAAAGAAGAAAGCCAACACCCATTGCTATCGGATTGAATTCGAAAGCCAAATCCGAAATATTCAAGCTAAAGAGCTTGAGAAACTCATCCGCAAGGCCATTGAGCCAAAGCTTCTGGATGGGCTATGCCTCAGATAGAACATCGTTCACGATGAACGATCATTTGCTGAGTGAGCCAGTCGTCTTTCCTTGGCATCAGAGCCAGCCGTGGAAGTGATGATGTTCTCCGAACGCAAGCTCGGCGTCATGTTTCATTCCCGCGCCTTCGCATCCTCCTATCCATCAACTCATTCATCATAATTTTACGAGTCAGCTCCATGGCAGGAATCGTGTTTGTGTGCTGCCCCATTCTGATGGGGCTAGTCGTTGGAAGTGCGGCTGATGCCGTCATTTTCACAGTTGACAAGATACCATCCGTGAAGAGCCTGCTAGTCTTCCATTTGGGCATAGGTTTTCCTGCGTTAATTTGTTCACTTTTCGCGTGGAGGACGAGTGAAGCAGAACGACGTGAAGCTGGCGGAGGGGCGCCAAGTTTTGAAGGGGTTCCTGGGACCTTTTTTTGGTTGGCCGTCATGTTTACTGGCATATTTTCGATCACCAACTGATGTATTATGCTTTTCATTTTTCCAAGCAGTTGTTTGTCTCAAGTTTGCTTCTCGAGATGTGTTTCGAGAACGCTGCGACATGGTGATCAAAAGCCTTGGTTCACGATTCATAGCCTGATTGTTTGGGGTCTCCATTGCCATGAGCCACCGGCATCCAATTACAAGTTCTTTCTACCAGCATAGCATCTATAGTTATGAATTGTCTCCACTTCGCAGTGTTACAAAATCCATTAGGCAACTAACCATCGACCTTCTTTGTCCTTATGTATTTTGTTGTAACTTCCTGGTGGTGTCTGTCCTTTATCGCTTGCTGACAAGATATCCCACTCGGTCTTTTTTTCAACTTTCCGAAATGTTCCATCCCCATTTCAGCATAGCCTCCGTTTTTACTTCGACGAGATACATCTTTATCGTATCTCCACACCCAAAAATCAGAGTCTTTGGAAATCCCATAGGCTCCAATTGTGTAGTTTGCAGTGCCAACAATAGTTGCATTGGTGATAATGTACTTGTGCCTGAACTCCTTCCCGAACCCTCTGGTGCCATTTCTAGGCTTAATACCTACATCATCAAGAAAGTGAACGAATCCCTGATGAAGAGCCTTTGGACCTGTGATCATAGATGCATCCCAAGCAACAGTATCGTCAACTGATAATAAATTGTGCAATGTCGAAAGGATAGTGTGGTGCATTAGTGGGTGCTTCGGTGCAATCGCAAAGAAATACTGACTCAGGAAATGAAAGGCTTCGATGATGAAAAAAGCTTCCAATTCAGATTCTTCTGTAGCCAGGGAAGAGAACGTGTCTGGATTAAGGTTGTTTGGCGTCGTATCTATATCTGAATAGACCCCCCCATAGTGCCAAAGGACGAGATATCTCCATAAATCTGCTTTTGCTGTTCCAGAGATGAGGCAATTTTCGTGCACATCTTTCAGCAGCGGAAAAACATCATAATTCATTTCGAACATCCGCTGCATAGCGTCATCGTCATGAAAGTAATACGACCAACCGTCGTTATTCCAGTTCGACCATTTTGATGTAGAAATGTTGAATGGAAGAGTTAAGCATCGAGACTTTGAAGTTTGATGGATGATTTTCGGTATCTTATTCCAACGGTTATTGTCATGAACATTGTCCGCAATAAAGTCGGTCTTATATATCATGCCTTCGTCACACTGTGTAGTCAATGACTGGGTAATTTTTGAGAGAGGTGGTAATGGGCTCTCAGATGTCTTCTTCTTTAGCATGAATCGATCTTCCTCTGTTTCAGACTCTGTCGTAGCACGGATACTCTCATCTGTCTTTTTCATTAAGCGATCATATTTTGCAGCAGGCGCTCTCGTAGCACGGAAACTCTCAAGATGCGCAAATTGTTGCGTGGAACAGTCGTTCCCAATGTCGAGATTGAAAGTCATCAATGCCCGAACTATGTATATGCCTGCAATTATGACAAGTGCATTGTAGGATGTCCCAGCAACAACAAACCCTGGATTCTGCCATCGCCGTGAGGAAGGAGTCTCGTTTGCCACCATCCTCCTTTTAACGGAGCGACTGTATTGAGTGGTTGTGTAAGGTGATGACTTTCAATAACTTGTGACTATGGCTGTTATCGGGGTGGGGGTGGTGGGAAATGCGGGAAAACCCGGGTGTCCCCGCTATCTGGCGATATCACCCGCCCCCATCCAAACCTCGACATGGGAACTACCCGTGCCGTAGCCAACCGTAAGTTCTTCCAATCAACCATTGCACGCATTTATGATATGAGCTATTTCCAAGTCGATATCATGCACAATGCATCTATGTCTGTTTCAGCCCAAACACTATTTTTGCAGATCGTTTTGTAGGTGATGATGAACTAAACATCAACCTTTTTTGTCCTTCTTTTTATGTAGTTCGTTCCCACTTCCTTACGGTGTCTGTTCCTTATTGCTTGCTGACATGATATTCCACTCGGCCTTTTCTTCAACTGTCCGAAATGTACCATCCCCATTGCAGCGTAGCCTCCGTTTTTATTACGATTTGACACACCTTTATCGTATCTCCACACCCAAAAATCAGAGTCTTTGGAAATCCCATACGCTCCAATCGTGTGGTTTGCAGTGCCAACAATAGTTCCATTAGTGATAATGTACTTGTGCCTGAACTCTTTCCCGAAGCCTTTGGTGCCCTTTTTAGGTTTGATACCAACATCATCAAGAAAATTAACGAATCCCTGATGAAGAGCCTTCGGACCTGTGATCCGAGAAGCATCCCAAGCAATAGTGTCGTCAACTGCTAATAAATTGTGCAATGTTACAAGGATTGTGTGGTGCATAAGTGGGTGCTTCGGTGCAATCGCAAAGAAATACTGACTCAAGAAATGCCAGGCCTCAATGATAAAAAATGCCTCCAACTCGGATCCCTCTGTAGCCAGGGACGAGAAAGTCTCTGGAGTAAGGTGATTTGGAGTGGTATTGCCAAAGAACGAGATATCTCCATAAATCTGCTTTTGCGGTTCCAGAGACAAGGCAACTTTCGTAGAGGTCTTTCAATAACGGAAAATTTTCGAAATTCATTTCGAACATTCGGTATACAGCGTCATCGTCATGAAAGTAATACGACCAACCGTAATTGTGCCACTCAGACCATTTTGACGTTGATATGTTGAATGGCACGGTCAAGCATCGAGACTTTGATGTTTGATGGATGATTTTCGGTATCTTGTTCCAGCGATTGCTGTCATGAATGTTGTCGACGACAATGTCAGTTTTGTATACCATTCCTTCGTCACACTGCGTAGCCCATGACTTCTGGGTAAGGTTGGAGAGAGGCGGTAATGAGCTCTGAAATGTCTTCTTCCTTGAAATGAAGTCATCTTCATCTGTTTCAGTTGTAGCAGCTGTGCCCTCAGTTGTAGCAGCTATGCCCTCAGCTGTCTTCTCCTTTAAATGATCTTCCCTTTTCTCAGAATTTTTCACAGCAAGAAAGCTCTCCAAATCCGCAAGCTGTTCTGTACAGTCTTTTCCAATTTCGGTATGGAGAGTCATCAATGTCCGAGCAATATATATGCATGCAATTATGAGGAGTGCTTTGTAGGAATTCCCAACAGCAACAAACCCTGAATTCTGCCCTCGCCGTGTCGAGGGAGTCTCGTTCGACTCCATCATCTTCTAAATGGAGTAGCTATGTTGGGTGGTTGCATTTCTTGCTGATCGGGGTGAAATAGTGTTCGATGATCTTGAGCGGTTGCATAATTTTGTTGACGTGCGGGTGGTAGTGCATGACGGGAAAACTCGCTCATTTTCCCGCCGGTGATGTGACCCGCAGCATTCCAAGACGCCACAAAACATGGAAATCATTGAATACACTTACGAGTACTCGTACTAGAACCAAACCACTGTCTTGTTGAACGACAACATGCAATGGCATTTTGCTCAAAAAATGTCTGTCAAAACAGATACTTTCGACTTGGCATGGTATCTCTAATCCTGGGCGCTGTTGTACTGTCAATCAAAGTGTCTGTTCAGCTGACTGGAAACCAGTCATTTGTCCTCCAATCTCAGGCAACCAATGCGATACCACAATCACTGGATGCCCCAGATTGGTTTCAAAGTGGTGCAGTTTCTGACAATATGGCTGAGGACCTGACCGCAACCCCATCGATCAGCAAAAAAACTCTCAATTCGCCTGCTGAAACTGGTGCCCGTCCGAATTTAAGCGATCCTTCAGATCGGTCTCAAAACGCTTCACCTGTTGCTACATTGATCATTGATCCAACGAAAACTCCGTCGAATGAAAAGTCGACTCTCAGTTTGCCAGCTCATCCGTTTGTTGGACCGAAATTTCTGGTTGGCATCATGTGCGTCCAAGAAGACGTCGAACGTCGTCAATTCATAAGAGACTCCTTCGTGTCCTTTTACAAGGACACTGAAGATTTCAATTCCAATCGAATCTGCTCCTTAAATGACCTCTTAAATGAAGAGATCGATGCCACATCTTGTCAAATCGCATACATCTTTTTGGCTGGTGGACTGACTGAAGGTTCGACACAACTCCTGACTCCCAATGCCACCCATCCCATTACAATTGAAACTCCGGACGAGTACGGTGGAGAAGACGATGTTGCATTTCTGAACATTAAGGAAAACATGAACGATGGCAAAACACCAACGTTCTACAGATATGCGTCCCTTGCGTTGGATCGATTGAAAGAGCGTCAAATTTCCTTTGACTTTGTGATGAAGATTGACTTGGATACAATGCTTTTTCCGGTCAATTTGCTCGAATATGCTGCCAACCACTTTCCGTTACACTTGAAACAGGTATACATGGGTAGAAAGGTGAGAGGCGGTAAGAGCGGATACTCTTGGGCAGCTGGTCCATTCCAAATCTTGTCTGTGGACCTTGCCAAAGCAATATCTGGTCCTGAATCCATTGGACGACAAAATAGAAGTGAGTTTGAGGACAAAGAAATTAGTAAAAGAGTTGAGTACCTGGGTACAAATGCATCCAAGATTTGGCTTCCCGACAAAACACTCATGATCCAACCGTCCAAAATTTCGCACGGGAAACCGAAATATGCCAACTATAACTTTACAGAAGTTCTCTATGGGCATACGGAATGGGGAAACAAAGGACGATGGTCTCGGTTCAGTCCGGGTCCATACTTCAAGTACTTGCCGACTGCTCGCAAGATATGGCGTCACTACTTGTACTGGCACACTCACAACAAGGTATGACCAAATGACGAGATCGTTGTGGATCCGATGCACTGTTGCTGCTGACTGACGACACCACATCTTGCATTTCCTTTAGACATCAGTGAGCAATACCTATCATCTGTTTGATATGCCACCACGAGGGGATATCCTTACGCTGGTGCGAAGAAATGACTATATCTTTTCGAATCAAGACTTCGACTCGTCACCTGTTGTTCTGGAAGATTACAAGCTTGTCTTTTTTCCAATCGAAGGGAATGGAGCAGAAACCTGGCGTTGTTTGTTTCGTCGTATGTTGAAGAAAACAGACTGGCGGAACGAGACTGTTCAGTTCCAAGGCCTTGCACTCCTGAGTGATTTCACTTTGGAAAGGGCAAATGAAATAATGACATCGGCTGAGTACACCCGTGCTATGATTGTACAAGACCCAAAGACTCGTCTGTTATCCAGCTATGTCAGAAAAGTGTTGCAGGATAGGAAAAATGAATTCATGAAAGCTCATTGTTGTGGAACGATTAAACAGCTAGTATTGCCAGGGTCGGAACACTATGTCGGCAAGTGTGCCAAAATGGAGGAACCAATCTCTTTTGAGATGTTTGTAAACATTACTCAAGATTGCGACCATCCATATTGGCGACCGCAAAGTAGAAAGATGGAGCCAAAATACTTTCCTTACATCAATTATGTTGGTCATTACGAAACTATTGAAAAGGATGCCAAGGTCTTGCTTCAGAAGATTGGCGCTTGGGACAAGTTTGGGCGTGATGGTTGGGGGACGGATGGAACGGAACCCATCTTTGCATTACATACGAATTGGACCCCCCTCAGTGTCTCAAAACTTCTACAGCAAGACTATGGCGGTGTTCTGGCGACAGTGGGCAAGAATGGGAGTGTCTTTCAGAGCGATTACCAGTGGAGTTTGATGAATAGTTAGCATATCGACTCCTCAAGTAATAGGAAGAAGAGAACTCTGGCGAAAAATAGTTCGAATTCGATGCCAGAACAAAGAATCGTAGGGGAAGGTTTGACGTAGGAGGAACTAGTTGCAAAGATGGAGTTGTGGACCGATCCGGAGATGGAATGCTTAGTCGAAAGGATTTTGCAAGAATTGCAAGGAAAATGAACCTCTGAAAATTACAGTCGATTGCACTTCTAGTTTGGAAGAGTCCAGAGCCAACAATTCATCTAGTAGTCCTTTCGGCAACGAAAGTACACTAGGAGCTATGAAAGCTACGCAACCAATTCAGTAGGTCCTGTCGCTTTCGGTATTGGGCAGAAAATCCCTTGGCTACAAGAATATTCTGGAACAATAGCATTTAGAGCAATGGTGAAGAACAGCTTTGATGCGTATTGGGAAGCCAGCCAGGAGGGGCGGGATGAAATCGTTCGAGGGATTGTGAATCAATTTCCGCCCGATGTTACGATAAGAACGAGGAAGTTCCTCAAGGCGAAGAAAGACGGAATAGACAACGAAGAACAAGAGACAAGCGAAGGATTTCCTTGCGCTGAAGATATTATTTTCTGGTATAAAAATGGCAGTTATCCCAAGACTCGCGGTACCCTGAAGTTCGAAGAAACCATTTTGTTGACCCTTTCGGCGCTTCAAAATACAGGAAGGGAAAATCTACTTTAAAGGTTCAAGCGATACGGTGAAAGGCATAGCGAGTCGACCTTTCAAGCAACAGAAAGAAGAGATCCCTGCCCAAAAATACTTCAAATACGATGCCAGCAAACATAAGTACTACCAACAGACTGACGATCAAGCATTAGACCGAACAGTACTATGCATTGGAACAGTCAAAAGTACCCACAATAACGAAGTAAAGCCGATTGTGGAAAGGCGTTGAGAAAAGGTGAGAGTTGTTAAAAAAATGAATCGTCTACCGATTCATACTGACAGCAACAAAGCTTACGCTTGTGTTCGATTTATAGAGAAGCAAGATGCAGAGAATATTCCTACTATGTCCGAGTCTGGCATCACGAATCCTAGCCAAGAGATCAACAGCATCACAAACACTGTAACCTTGCCTTCCTCTACTGCTATTTTACAATAAAGTCATATCAATGCAGCTCGTCGTGGAACAAAACGACCATTCAATGAGACCAATGCAATCAACATGGATGAGACAAACGACTCGAATATATCTCCAAGACCATTGCGGGGTCAGATCGGCCCTTCAGACCAAGATATGCTGAAGCATTTGTTTAATTATTGCCAATCTGATCCCAATTTCAAGAATGTCGTCTTGTCTCAGCTATGCCCAGAGCGCGCCCATTTGTAGGAGACTCTGACCGAGTCTAAAAGAGCTACTCGGAATGCGGAGAACCAGCTCAAGGCAACTATTTCCGCGAACGAAAGACTTCAAAAGAGTAATAAAGGGAACGAACAGACAATTGCCGAGTTGAAAGCAAAGCTTCTTTGTATGAAAGAACGAAAGGAAAAGCTCAAGATATCTAAGGACGAACTGAAAACAACTCTGTCGGATCGCACCAATTTCGAGCAGAGCCTTGCCAAGCCTAAATCAGCTACTAGAAATGCAGAGAACCAGCACAAGGCATTTGCCCGACAACGAAAAACTTCAAAATAGCAAAGAAATGATTCAGAAGAGCAGTAAAGGGAACGAGCAAACGATTGCTAAGTTGGAAGCAAAGCTTGCTTCGATCAAGGAACGAGAGGAAGAGCTCAAGGTATCTAAGGAAGAATTGAAAGGAGCTCAAATCTGGAATGAAAAGCTTCAAAAGAACAACAGACGGCTTCAATCCAGTATTGAAGGGAACGAACAGATGATTGCCAAGTTGGAAGCAAAGCTTGTTTTTACGAAGGAGCGAGAGAAGGGCCTTGAGGAACATTCGAAACAACACGAAAATGCGCATGAGTCTTTGGCAAAGAAATATCGAGCTTTCGAGGTTAAGCTTCAGGATGCCAAAGATTGCTTTGAGAATGAAGCAAAACGAAGGCAGCAGGTTGAGGACCAAATTGAATCCATTCTTGCAATGTAGACTCACGACGGATTGCAGCGCCAAAAATCCTTTTCTTGCAAGTAATGGCGTGTCATCGCGAGTATGTAATGTATACTGCAAATGCAGTTTGTATGGGCAGTAGAGTAACAAACTACTGTACAAACATTGGTGGATTTATGATACGAAGATGGACTGACTTAGCTCTTCCAAAATGTCCAATGCATGATGCACCACGCGCATCGTCTCACAAACCATTTCCCGACAAGTCAACAAGCATTCTAGTGTGCAAAAATGTCGTACCTATATCAACCAACACCGCTGGAACAAGCGTATACTTTGTATGTTGGTCAGCAGGTTTTCGGCGTTCTTCCTGGAGCCACCCAAATTCAAATCTCGGGTAGGGATGCCGTCCCGTTCTTGACTCAAAGCAACGTTGATCGTGGCATTTTGCGGTCCTTGTGGACCGTTGCCGACCCTCAAAACATAGGGACACTATCCCAATTAAATCAACTTCAATTGTTGCTTCGACTGGTGTCAATGGCACAAACTGGGCTACTCAATCCATCAATGACCGTTGATACAGTGAAATCTATGGTGCAACAGTATTCATCACAACAACTGAATCTACCATCTTTTTCATCAGTCATGGTTCCCCATCAAGATCAACTCATGAATGCCTACGGAAGCTTTGTCATTCAGAATACTGTTCAGCCCGTGTCTACAACGTCGAGCCAACAAAGTGGTGGTGGTGGTGGTGGATTCTGGTCCCTGTCCTCGTACAGCAGCCCATCCCTGGTTGGAAATTACGGTGGTCCGTCTCAGCAAACAACCGGAGGCTTTGGTGTTTCCCAGAGTTCGCTTGGTGGTGGGTTTCAGCAATCGACCGTCTCATCTGGGTTGTCCATGGGGACCTCGTCGTTTGGCCAAACTGCAACTATTTCCACTTTTGGCGTGTCGGCACCCAACACAAACACGGCGACTCCGTTGGCTCCACCAAGCCAGCGTTTTGGAGGGGAAATTCCAGAAGGCTTCAACACAGCCACTCAACTTCCAACAGTATCCGTCTCCGATGCTTTTGGTGATATCGATGCGCCAACGGATGCTCCCTTGCCTTCCCTTGGTGAATTTAGTGGCAGTGTCAATGACGGTGGTTCGGTGGATCAATCGGAGATTTCAGGTAGTTTGCATCAAACTGGTTCCAAGGAATCTATTTCCAATACTGATAGTTTCCAAAGTGCCTTGCAAAATACTGACAGTTTCCAAAGTGGTCCATCGGTTCAATCAGGTGGATTCCAACAAGCTGACATGGGTTCGTCAGTGAACGAAGGGTCGGAACTCCACCAACAGCCCCAACAAAGCGATGCTTTTGGATCCTTTGGGGGCGCAGCGCCAACATCAATGACCCCGCAACCAGCTCAAAGTGATGACTTTGGAGACTTTACGACTTCAGACCAATCAGCTGCCATAGCAACAGCACAGAGCGATGACTTTGGAGGCTTTGAGACCGCACCAGGTGCACCACCAGGTCCCATGACTGACGAGTCAGATCCATTTGGAGCTATGTCGAGTAGTCAAGACGCTCCTCTTCCTTCCTTGGAACAAACTTCCCAACCCTTCACTCATCAACAAGCAGAGGAGGACGATTTTGGAGGCTTTGAAGGTGCAGCACATGCTCCAGTAAATCAGGATGCTGGAGACTCTGGCGCTTTTGGTGTCTTTGGAGGAAGCCATGATGCTCCTGTTCCCTCTCTGGGCCAAGTTTCCCAACCTGTTCTACAACAAGCACAGAGTGATGACTTTGGAGTAGCACCTGTTCCTGGTTCTACGGTCGACGAGTCGGATCCATTTGGAGCCATGATAGATGTTCAGGACGCACCTCTTCCATCGCTGGATCAATTTTCGCAACCTGTCCCGCAGCAGCAAGGTGCGGATGAGTTTGGAGGATTTGAGGCTGCGATGCCACCTGTACCACAAGCTGCAGCCGACGACTTTGGAGGCTTTGAGACAGCCGAAGCTCCACAAGCTGATGATGATGACTTCGGAGGCTTTGAGACCGCCAAAGCGCCGGCTCCAACCCTAGTGAATGACGAGTCGGATCCATTTGGACCACTGGCTGGTAGCCAAGATGCTCCTTTGCCACTACTTGATGAAGCAGCTCTACAAATTGAACAAGAGTCAGAGGGGGGTGACTTTGGAGGTTTCGAGACTGCACAGCAAGCACCGGCTGCAGGCTCCACAACTGACGATTCGGATCCATTTGGACCCATCGCAGGTGCCCAGGATGCTCCACTACCATCATTTCAACAACCATCGCAATCAGGCGATTTTGGAGGATTCGGGGCTGCAGCAGCATCTCAGGTGGATCAGCCAAGTGCGGATTCAGATCCATTCGAACCCATTGCAACTAGCCAAGATGCTCCTCTGCCTCCATTGGGCCAATCAGCACCTTTGGAAGAGGACGAAAGTGACGATTTTGGAGGCTTCGAGACAGCAGCACCAGCGAGCGCTGATATCATTTCCGACAACTCAGATCCATTTGGACCAAGCCAGGACGCTCCGTTGCCATCGCTCGCCCAACCAGTGCAGCCTTCCAGTGAAGATGAAAGCTTTGGAGGCTTCGAGGCGTCAGGACCATCTAGTACTAACGCGACAGACGAAGACTCGGATCCGTTTGGACAAATGGCAGGTACTCGGGACGCGCCTCTTCCCACCCTAGATCAATTTTCTCAAGCTGCACCGCAGCCAGCCGAGGCGGACGATTTTGGAGGATTCGAGGATGCAACACCTGCTGCACTAGAACAGGCGGACGCCGATGACTTCGGAGGCTTTGAGACCGCAGAAGGAACCACTCCAGTCGTTGACGAGTCGGATCCATTTGGACCGCTTGCCGGTAGGGAGGACGCCCCATTGCCGGCCCTAGGCCAACCATCACAGCGTACTTCTCAAGAAGACGATTTTGGAGGCTTTGGGGATGCGGTCGTCGACGACTCTGATCCATTTGGACCAATTGCTGGAAGTGATGATGCGCCGTTACCATCATTGGGACAAATTTCACAACCTGTTCCGCAAGATCAAGAAGATGACTTCGGAGGCCTTGAAGATGTGGCTCCTGCAGCCGTGGATGACTCTGATCCATTTGGACCGATTGCTGGAAGTCATGATGCACCGTTGCCACCATTGGGACAAATGTCACAATCTGTACCACAAGATGACTTCGGAGGGTTTGAAGATGCGGCGCCTCTCACAGCCGTGGACGACTCTGATCCATTTGGACCAATTGCTGGAAGTAGTGATGCACCGTTGCCACCATTGGGACAAATGTCACAACCTGTTGCACAAGATCAAGAAGATGATTTCGGAGGGTTTGAAGCTGCAGTCCCGGCTTCTGTGGATGACACAACTAACAAGCCTGATCTTTTTGGGCCTATGGAAGGTGGCCAGGAACCAATCGAAATAGTTCCAGCTACCCAAGCTTCAGGTCAACCGGGTCTCTTCGGTGGTGATTTCAACGTCATTCCAGACAATGCAAGTAACAATAATTGGGGAGCCTTTGATTCGAGTGCTCCGGCACCTCCACCAGCCCCTTCAAACGATGCTCCGAATGACAACCAAGACAAATTTGGTGCCTTTAATTCCAATATTGGTACAGCTGCGGGTGTACCTGCAGCTACCATTGCTCAAGGTGACGATTGGGGTGGCTTTGATCCTACAAATGCGCAGAGCAATGACGATGATTTTGGGGCCTTTGACTCCAACACTGGCGTGACTTCTGCTACTTTGGCCCAGCTACCAGCTCAGGATGATGAATGGGGTGCCTTTGATTCCAACACTGGCACAGATACAGCAACAGCTTCTGCTGTAGCAGGGTCAGACGATGACTGGGGTGCTTTTGATTCCAATATTGGATCCGGTGCAGACGCACCTGCCCTGGAAACACCAGCACCGGACAATATTGACGCTCCAGTACCTGTCAGCACTGAACCCAAGGACGACGACTGGGGTGCCTTTGATTCCAACGCTGGCACAGATGCCCCTTCGGCTACAGTCGCGCAACCTCCAGCGCAAGACGATGAATGGGGAGGCTTCGATTCTGGAGCTCCAACTCCTTCTCCCGCACTTTCCACTGACGGTGCTGTCTTCGTCGATTCCAGTGCACCACAGCCGCCAGCCCATGATGATGATTGGGGCGCTTTTGATTCAAGTGCTCCTGCTCCTGCTCCAGCACCACCTGCAGACACTCCAAGCAGTGATGATGACGACGACTGGGGTGCCTTTGATTCCAACGCTGGCGCAGATATCCCTCCTGCTACAGTCGCGCAACCTCCAGCGCAAGATGATGACTGGGGAGGTTTCGATTCTGGAGCTCCAGCTCCTTCGCCTGGACCTTCTAATGATGGTGGCGACTTTGGAGATTCCAGTGCACCGCAGATACCAGCTCACGATGATGGTTGGGGTGCCTTTGATTCAAGTGCTCCAGCTCCAGCACCAGCTGCTGACAATGTAAGCAGCGATGATAATGACGACGACGACTGGGGCGCCTTTGATTCCAATGCTGACGCCGATGTCACTTCTGCTACTGTCACGCAGCAACCTCCAGCTCCAGATGATGACTGGGGGGCATTTGATTCCAGTGCTCCAGCTCCAGCACCACCTGCCGACACTGCAAGCAGTGACGACGACGACGACTGGGGTGCCTTTGATTCCAACACTGGTACAGAGGCACCTTCTGCTACAGTTGCACAACCTCCTCCTGCCGCCCAAGATGACGATTGGGGTGACTTTGGCAAGGCCACACCAGCCTCTCAAGGTCCTAGATTTGACAGCTTTGCCTCCTCCACAAATTACACTTCTGCCAGTGGCTCTGTTGATGGAAACTTGTCGTCGGACGATGAATTTGGTGATTTTGGAGACGCGGAAGGAAGGCGTGGTAATGGTGGTGACCACAAGAAGCCCAAGAATGGCACCCAAGACAAGATCCGAGCCTATGCTTCGCAACTTCCCGAATCCTTGCTCCGCAAGTCTGGCTTGTCGGGAGAACATGTCGACTTGGTGGAGTGTTTTGAAGTCAATATTGGTTCGGATGCTGCTGTTTCCACTACTACCATGGATCCTGCCCACAAGGCCACTGTGGATCGTTGTCTCCAAATTTTGGCCATTTTGAAAAAGAAGCGCAACTCCAAATTGCCATTGTATTGGGAGCAATTGTTTTTGGTGGTAAAGGAAGAACTTCAATTTGGCAAACAACTCTTGATGGAAGCCAGCAGCAAGAAACTCTCAAAGGCGGAGCATGAAAAGATTCAACAGCGATTGGTAATCATGATATCTGGCTTTTGCGAATACCTTCGTGTGGTTCGATCCATTGTGGGAACCATTGGAGATTTGTTGCTGTTGGATGTCTCGGCCTTGTTGACCATTGATACCTATGCTTCGACCTGGTGTTCCTTGGATATCCTGAAGATTCCCGTCGAGATTGAACAGCTATGGAAAGATATTGAAAAGGCTGCTGCTGGCCTCTCGATTCGTACCCTCCAATCCAAACAACAGGACGATACTAGCATGAGTTTGACCTCTATTCGCCGCAAATCCACCGAACGAGCTGCAACGACCTCGGAGCAGCAACTCTGCGAATTGACCTTGGTACCCTTGTCCAAACAAGATCGAGATACAACTTGTAGTATCGTCTCCTGGCAAGGCAAGGGTTTCATGGCTTGTTCGGCCAACATTCTGGCCAACCGTTGCCCCTTCTATGTGGTCGTTGAATAAAAAGGCAACTATAGGCGGTAAAGCAACTCATAATATCAATGTGTTATTATAATTGATAACAAACTTTCTATTCTTTTTAGCTAGTCTTATGCACACATTTATGTATCGTTATTAATAAAATAGCGTCTAATCTATTGCTCTTTTTGTTAATTTTTCTTGTTGTTGTTGTTGTTGTTGTTGTTAAAACATGGCCGTCAGAAACTCCCAAATTTCCAAGTCCACAATCTCAAAGGAACCATCCTCACACAGGGGTTCATTGTCAAAGGTATCACAATGTCCCGTGCTTCCTCGTTGGAAGTCTTCCTGTACTGCCAAACCAAAGGCACCATTCTCACCACCTCCACCAAAGGCCAACATTTTTCTCGAGGTATCGCACAATTGAATATACCGATTCTTGCCCGACCATTTGAAGGATTTGATTTGAGAGTCTTTATCGTCATGGACCACCTTGAACAAACACGCCGAGGCACCACCATAAAAGGTGGCCGATGCAAAGTGTTGGGTCGCCCACGCGGCATCCGCAAAGCCACCAAAGACATCGCCCTTTGTTGTTCGAATGACCATTAACGTTCGTTGGGTGGAAGACACAATCCGCAGACATGCTTCAAAGGAATCACCATCCCGTCCCAAATCGTACAATCGATTCCACCGACAAAAAGAAATGGTTTGCGGTAGCACGACTGAAGCAATTTGATTCATTTGTTCCTGTGTGAGTATATGTGGCCGTGGGGTTCCCTCTTCTGGCTTGACGCGGACTTCTGGGACGTCAAAGTCGTCGTCGTAATCTGCTTCTTCAAAGGGAATTTGTCCCGAAGCACCTTCTCCGGATTGACTCTTTTGAGTGCTATTGTTGGTCGATCGTTCACTGGTTTCCACAACCGCACTGCTGCTGCATCCTTCCTCTAAAGATGATTCTTTGGGTTGCAAGCCCTGTAAATTCTGTTGGGCATCTAATATCTTTTTGAGCTGCAAATCCGCTTGTTGTTGAAGGTGTTGTCGACGACGTTCTTCGCGTTTGCGTTGCAACCAACCGAGTCCCGACGCCAAGAGTCCTTTTTGATTGTCCGATTCGTCCGAGGCCGATTGGAGTGCTTGTCGTAATTGAAGTTCCGAGAGCGCGTGATGATTGACACCTTTGGCATTTGCAGCAGAGTTCTTGATACTACCCACATGACTGCTGCTCGTGGTGCTGGCACCGATGCTGCTGTCACTCTTGTGCATGTCAATCGAAACAGGAGGTGCCAGAGGCGTTGTTGTTGTTGTAGTAGTTGTTGTGGAACCATTTTGGCGGACACAATTGGTCGAATCGGCCATGACTTCTAATTGTTGTTGTGCTGGTCGTTCTAATGCAGTGGTTGTGGTGGTAATGGTCGTGGTCCCTTCCAACGAGGCGACTCGTGTCTCGTCCATTCTGGTGAAGTGTTGCATTCACTGTGACGGAGTGGGCCGCGTGTGACCTCATTTTCCCATTCGTTTATCAATTGAGACTTGCCGCGGCTGGCGTGCGTTTAGACGTTTTAACGGCTGGTTCCGTTGGGGTCTACTTTAGTCTGTCGAATTGATTCACACGACTTCGGAAGCCAACGAAACAACTCAAGCAACACTAGCTAGGTATAATAACAACGACGAACACGAAGGAACAACCATGATTCCGTTTGCTATTTCCAATCATCGCTTTCTGACGATGCAATCGATATATTTGGGGCTCTTGATAGCATCATCATCAATAGGTGTCAATGGACAACAACCTAGAATTGTAGGGGGAACAGAAGCATCCGAAGGGGACTTTCCATTTTTTGGTGGGTTTGCTTTTTTTCGTTCTCCTTGGAACATGTGTAAGAATGAATGATTGCTCACACGCTGCATGTCTTAACTTTCGCAAATTCTCTACCGTCTTCTTCAATCAGTACACAATGGCCATTGCGGGGGATCTCTGATACATGGTGACATTGTTCTAACCGCAGCTCATGTGAGTACACACACACCCACAATGACTGATGGACTCGATTTTTTGCATTCTTCTCACGTTTCTCTCTATGATTATTATTAGTGTCATCACAAATCCACTCGCAGGACGGTGCAAGTGGGAGCCCTCCAAAGAGAATCCTTGGATGATGGTTCCAAGTACGCCACTGTGGAATCCGAAATGCTCCATCCGGACTTTGCCAAGGGGAACAATGAGTTTGATTTTATGCTCCTCAAACTGGGGGGTTGGGTGGATCCGCAACATGTGGTTCCGCTCAATAATCAATTTCGGATTCCGCCCATGAATGATCCGGATGTAGTCTTTGACATTATGGGGTTTGGACAAATCTCGGAAGGAGGCCCCCAATCGGAAATTTTGCTCCACACCACGGTCAAACCAGTGGCGGCCGAACAATGCCAAGAAGTGTACGAGATGTACGCCTTTGACGAAGCGACCATGATTTGTGCCTTGGACAATGGCAAGGACTCTTGTACGGGGGATTCGGGAGGACCGCTCATGTACAATGGAGTCTTGGTGGGAATTACCTCGTGGGGGTTGGGGTGTGCCCGGTATCCAGGAGTCTATGCACGAGTCAGTGCAGCGTATGGATGGATCATTCAGAATGTGTGTCGACTTTCCGACCAACCGCCCGCTTATTGCGATGACGATTGGGTGGACACTCCTATTACACAACCAACGGATGGGGTCCATTGGGTTCGAGTCGACTTGCAATACGAGTCGGATGCCATTGAATTGGACTGGTCCTTGGTCAATACCGATACAAATGAAATAGTGGCACAGTCGTCCAATGAAAAGGAACGATTCGATCATACGGTGGTTTCGACCTATGCCTTTGTCGAAACTGGAAACTATGACTTTAATTTCAATGGACAAGGTAAGGGACCATTTAGAATGATTGATTTGGCAAGTGCATTTCTGGATTTGGTTGATTCACAATTGATTTCGTTTTCCAATGTTGTATTGTTTAGGTTCGTACAAGGTATCAGTGATTCGAAATCGAGCCACCATTTCGGGAGATGGAGAGGAGACCATTCTTGCGCAAGGGACTGCTTCCAGACCCTTGCGGATTGCCGATCCAACTACTGCAGTACCAACACGTGCACCGACACCTCCGCCAACTGTGGGAGAGCAACAAGTCGAAACTCAAATACCTACTTTTGGAATGACAGAATCCTTTGCACCAACGCCAGTGGTATCGGCTTCTCCAACCGCTTACACGGGTCCAACGGTAGATATCGAAATTTGGATCTCCATTGCTCAACACCCAGAAGAGGTTGTTTGGAGGCTGTTGGACTTTTCAGGACGGAGCGTCATTGAACGCATGTCGCCGGGATTCTACACGGAAGAGGGTGGTTGGATATCCACAATTACATTAAGAGCAAAGGGTATCTATACCTTTGTCGTGACGGAAGCCAAAGGGAGAAGCAATGGTACGTGATAGTTGTTGCGTCGCAAATGAATGAATGATGGGTCAATGCTTGGTTTCTAAAACTTTTTTGTTTCGTGCAGTTCGGTATTCCATTCTAGCAGTGGACGACAAGGCTGAAGTTACCGACTATTTGGTGGACGATCAGACGGATCGATCTTTGGATCCACCAACGGAACGAAATTTTCATAGGACTTCAACCTTTGCAGTGTAGCACGTAGTTTTGTATTTTAGAAGGAAAAGACGTATTTTGATAACACGAAAGGATTTCTAGTTTGAGGCCTGTTGGGATTGATTCGAAAACATGCTAAATTTCATGTTTCTTCTATCCTCCATTAGCTTTCGGAATATGTCGAGCTTTGGAATTGGGTGCCCAAGTTTGTAGCCATAAAATATGTTCATGCACATTGTAACATATTCCTTGTATAATGGCAGGTTTTCAATTGTGTTAGCAGGATTCACTCCTGTCCTCTGGTAATAGAAGGAGTGCGCAGGACTATGGGGACACCCAACATGTTCTCTATGTAGATCTCTCTTGATTCTGCGAAGCGTGTCATTCAGATTCCTTTCAAGATGAAGCTTGTCTCTTACATCACACAGCACAAACGTGCCGCTTGGGTACGCGTTCATGTGGAAAAAGTCTCTGGGGAGTCGAGTGAATGTGCCCAAGTTCTCTTCTTCGTCTATTGGGACATTTAGTGCGAGTGTCACTGGCACATTTGCCCCAGGTGCCATGAGATCACAGGGGACTTGTGCAAGTATAGTCCACCTTTGGTTCTCTTCTTCTTTTTTAGTCGGCAAGCCAATGTCAAAACCCTCATTCCGAATCTCGGGATCCCATTCTTTCAAGGCATCACGCGTTCTCTCATCCGTTTCTTCAGCTCCATGCAGGAGGCCCACAATTGACTGCCCGATCATTGGTCTGACACTTCCTCCAATCAACGTCGCAGTCTGAACTGATGCAATCGCGTCTGAGCATTTTCGAAAGGCACGACAAACTTGACGGGTCCGAGCTAGGACCTCGGAAGTGGCAACAAACTGCAAAACATTTGTCAGAAGAGAATGATCATCTTCCTCCCTTTCGGCATCGAATCCCAGTGCTGTTTGAACAATTTTCGTCCGCTTTCTGGGCCTTCCACTTTCAGATTGATTGGACATTTTCCTGTGTTGTTGCTGCTACCGGTATGTACTGAGAGAATTATGATACATCCCTTTGATCTATCCTTGCTTTGATGGTTTGGAGGTTTGGCATTGGTGGCGAATTTAAAGTAAGGACTACTCTAGGCCGTATCCATTTTTCGACCCGTTCGACTATTCGTTCTCGAAGTCGATTTCTCAACAACCACGCACAACAATAACATCGTCGTTGCATGAACTCGTCCGACGTTTGCCATATCGTCAAAGACGTCCCTGGATTGTATGTTGATGCATTTCGGGGTAGACTGCTCCGAAAGACACAAGATCCAACAGCATGTTTCATATTGACACATTATCATGGAGATCACTACCAGAGTCTCCCAAGAGAAGGAAAATATGCAGGACCCGCAATCATTCATTGCTCACCCGTCACAGCGGCGTTGCTAGAGGAGATGCATCAAGTCCAACCTGATTTGGTGAAAAGTCACAAATACGGCGAACCTTTTCAATACAGAGTCAAGAGCAAAGGAGGAGACAAAGTACTGGCAAGCATTACATTTTATGATGCCAACCATTGCCCTGGGGCTTGCATTGTACTGATCGAACTGCCGAATGGACACTGTCATGTCCATACTGGTGATATGCGATACCATGATAAGTTCAAGTCATATCCATTGCTCAAGCATCTTGCTGCCAAAAAGAAAGTTGATTTGGTCTACTTGGACACGACGTACAGTCATCCAAAGCATGATTTCGTGCCACAAGAGGAAGCAGTTGAAGCGATTGCCTCACAAACAGCGGAGCTGCTTTCCTCGAGCTCAAAAACCTTAGTCATGCTCTCCTGTTACTCGATTGGTAAAGAGAAAGTCTTGTGGGAAGCATCCAACAGGGCCAATCAGATGCTTTATGTCAATGAACGAAAGATGAAAATGCTCAAATGTGTGCAGTTACACGATTCACAAGATGCCTATCAGATTATCAATCGATGTACCGAGGATGTAAATAAGAGCGATATCCATGTGATACCCATGGGATTGGCTGGAGAAATGTGGCCGTACTTTAGACCAAATTTCGTCAAATGCAAAGAGTATGTCGAGAAGCTCGACAAGGAATACGAAAAGGTGGTTGCATTCCTTCCGACTGGTAAGCTATGTGTAATGTATGTTGTGAATGATTGGGTAGATCAATCAACGAATGCCTCACTTGGAATAATTTCTAGGCTGGGCAGATGCTAGCAATTGGAACAAGAAAAATAGTGTCAGCAAAAAGGATTTGGACTTGGAGAATGGGAAACGTTTGCAAGTTGAAATACGCCTGATAAGCTATTCCGAGCACTCTGCCTTTCGTGAATTGATCGATTTTGTGCAATTTCTTCGACCCCAAAAGGTGATTCCAACGGTGTTCTCCGATGAAGCAGACTGCCGTCGAATCCAAGATCGGTTCCGCCACCTCATCGATTCGACTCGGGCCAAGCAAGCTTTCTTCAAATCCATGAATAGCAAGCTTGAAACGAAGCTCAAGGAGTCATCAAAACACTTAACTAAGGCGAACGTCATTATGAAAGTTGAGGCGGATGCACAGTCTGCACCCTCTCAAATATGCATCGAGGAGGACGATATTGAGATTGTTTGCGTGAAGCCATCCACAGCAAATCAACAAATGCAGCAAATAGATCCGAATTGCGACAACAGTAAAGTGAAAGATCTTGTAGACATGGGTTTCGATTATGGAAGAGCGAAAAGGATCCTTGATTGGAATGGTGGCAACCTGAATGCTGCTATCAATGCTCTCTTGGCAGGGGAAGGTGAAATGGCACAATCCACCCCTAGTCCACCGGCGAAGAAACAGCGCAAGTCGCCTCAAATTACTAGCTTCTTTTCCAAGAAAACAACCTGAAGCACATATTATATTGTGGACTCTTTCACTGACGATACGAGCCACGAAGGGAGGAAGATTGCATTCCAGCCATGTCCCACATATCGATACCACCCCGATAGAACGCAAGGACTTGGATGTATGATGTGAGGTTCAGTTTCACTCGAAACACACAAAATGCAGCGGGGCGATGATGACAAGCCGGGAGCAAAGTCACGATGTATGCGTCTGCAGGGCCAGGTCGTACCTGGTACCTTGTACCATTCTGTAAATTGTCAAAGTGTCAGTGACTCGTTGGACTAATGACACCCGTGCGTCCGTTTCCCGGAATCTGACGAACCAAGAGATCGAAAATAGGAAGAACCCAGCCATCATCACCCATCATCACCCATCATCACCTCGACTATATCACCTGATGCGTGCACCTACTATGAGCTTCAGTAATCACCTTTTGGTGATTTCAGCTCTGCTTCTACTAGTTACTAGTAAAGCATTTGTTGAAAATCGAATCACCCATCAACAGGTGTCTAGCGATACAAATATTCTTTTATACTCTGCTGTTTCCGAAACGACGAGTCAAGAAAAGAAAAAATGGTATCCAAGGCGAATACAAGAAGATGTTAACTACGAGAAACTTGTTCAGTCGTTCTATCTACGACATATTCTGGTAGAGACAAGAGATATGGCTCAAATAGCATTGAACCAGTATCTTGAAAACACATCCTCCCGAGATCCCTTTGGCGAATTGGCAGAAAAGATCAGTGCCTGCGCTGCTTCAAGAGAGGAAGGCGGTAAAATTGGCTGGGTTGACATCGCGAATGCACAAGACGAGGCTGGAATCCTTCCAAAAGATGTGCTTTCGCAATTGGTACCCCTCTGTCCCAAAACAGGAGACGTTCACATTATTGAGTCGAGACTTTCGGGACAAGTCCATGTCATTCGAGTGGAAGAACTTCTGATTAAGCACAATTCCAACCTTTTACCAGACGAAGACAAAGAATTGAGAGTGGGATCTTATTCAGGAAAAAATTCAGTGATTTCGCGGCGAAAACTTAAAGGCAAGGGGGTAATGCCACAGTTCCCCACTTTGGATAAGGGCAAGAAGTACATGATTCAGACCAATGGCTGCCAAATGAATGTTGCAGATAGTGAACGCCTGTCGGGAATCCTTCATCATGATCTGAACCTGTCCCCAACCACCAAAGGTGAAGAGGCAGATGTCGTTTTGTTCAACACTTGCAGTATTCGAGATCATGCCGAACAAAAGCTTTTTGACATGCTTGGTCCATTCTGTGCTAGGAAAAGAAACGGAGAAGAACTCGCCATTGTCGTAACTGGCTGTGTTGCCCAACAAGAAGGTGAAGAACTTATGAGACGAGTACCAGAAATCGACGTAGTGTTGGGCCCACAATATGTCCCATTTCTGAAGAACGTTCTGGAGAGCGTCGAGTGGGGAAAACAAGTCGTTGCCACCGCTCCCATGCTTCATATGGAAGACAATGACTTCTCGAAGCCTATGCGAGGTGGTGAGGGAGTAAAGGCATTTGTCAATGTGATTCATGGTTGCAATGAGCATTGTACATACTGTGTAGTTCCCGCAACACGAGGAATGGAGCAGTCCCGAAGCATGGAGAGTGTTTTCAAGGAATGCCTTGATTTGACCAACAGCGGATACAAAGAAATCACATTGATCGGTCAAAATATTGATGCATATGGAAGGGATATGACCCCAAAGCGAAACTTTGCTGAACTTCTGGAATACTTAAACTCAAATCTTCCAAGCAAGACCCGTATTCGATATGTGACCTCTCACCCCAGATACTTTTCTGACAAGGTTATCGATGCTGTTGCCAATCTAGATAAGGGTAAGCGAAATCAGACTGAGAATTCGATCCTTGGTCAAATCGGAGAACCAGAACTCACCAATGTGTGCAACACCTTTTTATTTCTATGTGCATTCGGCAGTCTGTGAGTGTTTTCACATGCCATTTCAGGCTGGAGATGATGAAGTATTGAAGAGAATGAGGCGGGGTTATACCTATGATAGTTACATGAGAATAATCAACAAGATCCGTGAAAAGGCACCCGATGCCGCAATCTGTGGTGATGTGATTGTTGGGTTCCCCGGAGAGACAGAAGAAGCTTTCCAGAGGACGTTGGATCTTATGGAAGAAGTCAAGTTTGATAACTTGAACACCTTTGCTTACTCGCCCCGTCCCAATACGGAAGCGGCGAAGTGGGAAGATCAACTTCCCGAGGATGTTAAAAGTGAGCGATTGCAGCGTGTACAAGCATTGGCAACCAAACATGGACTGGAACGAAGTCAACGATATGTAGGCAGGGTACTCGAAGTACTGGTGGAGGATAAGAATCCACGAAATGCAAATCAAGTGGTTGGGCGAACGCGACAGGGAAGGCAGGTGTACTTTGATGGCGATTTGGATGTATTGAAAGGAGAGTACGTAGATGTTCTCGTAACGGAGGCGCGAACGTGGAGTCTCATGGGAGAGCGACAGTAGCTAGAAATTTGAGAATCCGAATTCATTGTATTTCGTTGATTATATTTTTAGCAGCTCAACTGACTTGCGGCAATTCTTGCCTGCAATATGATGGGCTCAATCTACTTGACACATTGCAGCTATCGCCACGAGTGCACATCATCACCGATTCCATTGTAAGTGAAACATATTGCCGAGAAGGTAGCGTTTGTTTTCCCGTCTTTCGAAGGGAGCTGTTCGACGTATTGCATCACTCCGGAGTAGTGTTTGACTTTCATCAAGGCTTCTAGAAATTCCCTTCCAATATATGATCTATCACCAGGCACTACCCGCCGCCAAGTCTGGTAGGCCCCACCAAGATCGTTGACCTTCAATTGAGATTGCATCACTTGACGCAATTTGCTGCTTGGGTCATCATTCTTTGAAGCCATTTGAGCTGCTATTTCGAAGTAAGTTTCCATGGAAGACTGGTTGCCCATTGAATGCGAAGCATGGGCAAGACTGAGAAAGGAATCGACAGTAGCTGGATTGCCTTCGACTGTTTGTTTGAGTTCAGCGAAAATGATGTCGCGGCAATTGTCGCTTCTACTTCCATTCAGTAGACTGAGGTATGCGATGAGCTGAAAATTCTGCCGATTCACAGATTGCTTTAGGATTGCTAGAAATTGATCCTCTCGACCAAGTCGTCCTTCTACCCAAGCCAAATCTTCAATGAATCTCTCAGGTCCCGTATACCGACTGTTCAATTCAGCAGGAATTGCTTTCTCCATTTCAGCGAGAAGCTCGTTCAACAAGTCGGCAGGGTACTCGGAGTCCAGTTCTAGTACCACAAGAGCGCGAAGCCAGCTATTCAAACTTGATTTGTACGGACGAGATTGCTTGATCCTTTCATCCAAAGCAGCCATTGCTTTTGCTTCTTCATTCGCTTCTTTGAGCCTTCGAATGACGTCTATTTCGGCTTCAACAGTTCTGATGCTTTTGAATAGCTTATCGTGGTCTTTCATAAGCTCTAGCGCCTTCTCGTGTTCGCCCCTTTCAGCAAAACATTGCGAAATGGCCATGGCGATGTTCTGTGATGACGAAAAGCTCCCCGAGTCAGCACTTGTGGCTTTCATGATAACGGCATTCATCAGTCCAACGATAACGTCGTTATTAACCTTTTTGTTCTCCAAGAATATAGGTATTATCCTGGAATAATTCAAATGTTTTTGCCGACCTTCGTCCAATACCCCTATAGCAGAGGTAAAACGTTCAACAAGAAAGAAACTTCTTGCAAGACATCTGTATTTCTCGCCCGGGTTGTTTTCGTTGTCAATGTCCTCCCGGGCTTTGGCCTCGAATGATCTCGCTTTTTCCTCGTCGCCCAAAGCCAATTCCATTGCCATGAAAGGGGCATAAAGAAATGTCAGGTTTGTGTATTTGGTCACATCAAAGCTCTCAAGACTCGAATTAGCTTCATGTACAAAAGGCTTTGCATCCTCTGATTGACCTTTCATCAACAACATTGTTGCTGCGTCACAAAGGGCTGAAGTTCGTGAGATAAAAACTGGTTTGATTTTGGTGGCAAGGTCCAAAGCCTTCTCAATCTGGCCTTCGTTGATATAAACAAGGCAAACGTCATAAAGCTGGTCTTGGATTATTCCACCTCCTTGGCTTTCGATATCTTTCTCTTTCATTTCAAGCCATGATTCAACAAGGTTAGACGCCGTCACTGAAGCGTCTTCATTCACCAAAGTCTTGACTTGAGGCATAACAGTAGGCGTTTCGGCGGCCAAACGAACTTTTTCTCGCATGTCTTTCGGCAGAGGGAATAGCGGGTCATCAATCAGATCTCGAAGGCTTTCACATGTCTTAAAGTCTGCCCACTCCAACGGCCAAGAGTGTGAATTGTTGAATGAAAAGTGGCAATGCTTCATTGCTTCTTCCAACATTGTGATAGGGCAAAGAAGTGCACCCTTTTTTGTTGAGCAAGCATTAAATGCATTACCAGCCTTATCCAGTATTGGAAGAAGCGAATAATTAGTTTCAAATGAGTTGTAGGCATCCTCATCGCCAAAGTCTTTATCGCCGACTCGCATTGCGGAGGCGCCAACTGGTGACAGTTCTGCGTAAGCTGTTGCAAATTGTGCACGGTCGACTGTCCGAATAATTGACCCATCTTTCGCATTAGAAAACTCCAAGACGTTTTCTCCAATGGTTACAACTGAGGAATCTTTTCCAAATGCTATCGCAAGAGTCGATTCCGACACACTGAATCCAGATAGTTTCTGGAATACAGGGTTTTCGTCGTTTTCTTTGGCACCTTTCGGCATGTGCCAAATCTCAACTTTTGCAGTCTTGTCCATCGCCGCACCCATTGTCCCGCAAGGTGACCAAGACCATAGATTTTGGTCGGCAAAAAACATGTTTCGAGTTGGAAATCCTGTAGATGTTGGAAGTTGACAAAGGAATTCTTGCTGTTCCATACTGACGTCAAAGACATAGACTCCAGGAGGTTTGAATTCCATCCTTGCTCGTTTGGCCTTTCTAAGCTTTTCCATCACACTATTACCCAATGTTCCAAGGACAGCTTCATCCTTGGCGCTATAATTTGGATCATATTGGCCTCCAACCACCATTGCAAGTCGATACTGCTGAACTTGTTCATCGTCTTCACTGTCATTCGCCTTTTCTGCAGTCTTCTCCTCATAAACAACCGCCCAGTGCAACTCGCTGGCACCCTTGTACTCTGGAAACTCCTGTATGATTTCACCAGTGGCAGCGTTTCGAATTGTCAAGTGGGGACTACTGTGAGCAAAAAGGTTCCCATCCTGTGTCCAAGCCGATTCGCCTCTGACTCCTTCTGCGATGTAGATCAGTTTTCGAGTATCCATGTCGACTGCAATCGCACTATTGTATGTGGTTCCTTGTAGCCGTTCGCCCCCATTGGCAAACATCATGTAGTTCCAGTCTCCAAGGCCGGGTGCATCTCCATCTTCATCTTTGAGGTGGTCCGGTACTTCGTTGTCAAAATACTCAAGCTCATCGTCGCCGTCGGTCGTACCTCCTGGCACCGTCTCTTCTTCGTTGTATCCGTATCCAATAGCAAAGGTCCCGGTTGGACTCAAGGTGAATGGGCAGGGTTCTAACAAGATAGAATTCTATTGTCAGTGGGTATAAATGAAAAAAACATGAAACGGTGAAGTGCCAAGATGAACATACCATCTTTTCCATCCAGCGGGAAGCATTCAATCTCTGGATATTCCATCTCATCGGTGGGGTAACAATATCCAAATCCATTCGTGTGGTAGCAATAGGCTATTATGCCTTTGCGATCCTCTTCTGGTATCCATTGCATCATTCGTGCATGACCACTCCATCCAATCCCACCTTCAATGCCCCCATACCCTTGATTGACCGCTTGACCTGTTGCAATCTCAAAAATCTGAATGGATCCACCACCGTCATAGTTTCCCCCACAATGAGTACCTATGGCAATATACCCTTTGCATGGGCTAACGGTAAAACAACCAATCGGCTCTGCGTGAACAAAGTTGTTTACCAAATCAAAATTAAAACAACCATTCCGTTCTTTCATTTGGACACGTTCTTGTATCGCTCGAAAGCAGCGCTTGTGCAAGTCCCGTCCATTATGTTTCGTCCTAGCATCCAGTGCAGCTCGTAGTTGGACAAAATCATCTGAATCCCCAGTGATGGCTGCTTGTTGCGCACTGTTGAAGTGCTCAAAATCCAGCGCCTGATAAAAGTCGTCATCCTTCTCAATCTTGCCCAAACTCTCCCACGTGTGCGGGGATCTTAAGAATGACGATTCCGTCTTCTCATTTGATGCATTGCTGGTTGCCATCGGTGATGAGGAGAGGATGATTTGTGCCGTCCAGCAAGACAACACTGTAATGTTCACCTCTGTGGACTCACTTGTTTGGCGGATGTTGCATTTTGGATCATGTCATGGAAACGGGATTCATCGTCGATTTAGTCATTCGTCATCTCGCGCGTTCATTGAGAGCTACTTTAGGCCGTTTTGATCAGACGGAAGAAAGCGGTCGAACCAATGGACTCAATAGTGACCGAAACTCTTCTATCGTGTCATTGCGAAGGGCGAAAACAAGTTATTCTACCTATACTCTTGATTCTACCGATGAAGTATCATCTGGGAAGATCAAAGCATGCTATCAGCTGATTCGCAACCCTTCTAGATGCCTCCAACCAAGAAAGCCCGGTTGAAGTTTGACCCAAACACTGTCTTTGTTATCACATCGTCCACCACCAAAGATCAAGTTCCGAATGATGTACGGTTCGTCCGCATTGATGGATCAGTTCGTGTCCTTCCCGAGCAATTATTTATGTATCACACCTCATTAGAAGAAGTAATCTTCGAAGAAGGTGTTCGCACCATTGGGGAGAATGCCTTTGCATATTGCGGAGCGTTGACCAAAGTCAAACTTCCCTTTACATTGCGAGAGATTATTGACAGGGCTTTCTTTTCTTGTTCGAGCTTAACTTCAATTGATTTACCTGTGGGGCTCAAAGTCGTTGCAGAATTTGCGTTTGGGTTTACAAATTTGCGCCGTCTAGAATTTCCTGCTACAGTGGTAACCATCAGAGATGGAGCTTTCTACTGCTGTGAAGAGTTGGAATCCATGAGTCTTCCCCCAAGCTTAGAGGTGATCCCGTTACATCTTTTCTACTCGTGCGAGAATTTGGAAGAGATTGAGATTCCAAGAACAGTAAAGATCATTGCGAATGGCGCTTTCAATTGTTGCTCGGCCTTGAAGAAATTGGATTTATCACACTGCACCCAATGCTTCACGATTGGACACTATGCCTTTACCGGTTGTTCGGTGATGTCGTGGATAACCCTTCCGCCCAATCTCGAATTGATCAACGGAGGAACATTCGAAAATTGCTCGGAATTGACGCATATCCGCGTGCCCCCGAATGTCACTTCCCTTGGGCTCACAAAAGTACCCATACAATCCTTCAGTCCATTTGGTGGGTGCACTTCGTTGTTATCCCTGGAACTTCCAGAAGGATTGGAAAAGACCGAGATGCTTCACGAAAACCGGGGAGGAAGAAATAACTGGGTAGACCTTGTCACAAATCTACAACACTGATTCCACGGCCTTCCGCTTCACAGACTTTGCTACTTCCACAGCTATCATCCCATGGAAGATACGATGCAACAAATCAGTGATATTCTGAGTGATATTCCAAGTGCTCTGTTGCAGTCGGATCCGTTTGCAATGACTCCATTGCATATCCTGGCACTAGCCCAAACACCAAGACTAGAACTTTTTCAAGTCCTCTCGTCGGTAGATCCAGCCCTCTCGGCGAGAGATCAGTTTGGATCGACTCCACTGGACTATCTTGAGAAAAATATTTCCGAGGGAGGTTTGCAGGTGACTCGATGGTTGGTGCAGCAAGTTGTGGAACAGAAAGGAGCATTCCTCGGCCTAGACCGATGGAAGCAAGAGCTATTTGTCATGAAGGAAGGAATCGAAAGGGCTGACTGCTCTTCGACCAGGAACCGTGAAATCCAGTCGCTTTTGGATAGGCTTGCGAAGTTGGAATTCCTTGAGGTGCTTTCGTTGGCGGAATTGGTTCTTTGGAAAATCAAATTGGGCGAGAATACATTGGATCAAGAGAGCATTGATCGAGAAAGCAGTCGGATCCATTGTGGTATTTCCATTCTCGTTGGGAACGTTTTACCCTTTCTCGGGAAAGAGTAGCTACTGTAAGAAATGATTAAAAAACAGATCATCCTAGTCGATATACTGGATGTCGAACTGCAACGTAATAGGAGCTGATAAGCCAGATGCTGGAAGTAAAAAGACACTAGTGTTGCAGTATTTCTATTGTACCGGTATATTGACGATCAGCTCGAACGCTGGGAAGCCATCTTCGAATGGTCATCCTTGGTAAATCTGTATCTGCCTCCATCACAGACTTTGCTCGATAGGAGATTATTGAATGAACCCATTCCTCGAATATACCAGTTTGCAAAAGTTGCACAAAACTGGAGCGATCTTGTTGCAAAGCTGCAATACCGATTCGATGGGCTTCCGCTTCACAGAGTTTGTTACTTTCACAGCTATCATCCCATGGAAGACACAATTCAACGAATCAGTGATATTCTGAGTGATAATCCAAGCGCTCTCTAGCGAACGGATCCGTTTGGAATGACTCCATTACACATCTTGGCTCTTGCTCAAAAGCCTGTCGTGGAACTGCTTCAAAAGCTACTTGCTGGATTCGATGTGGCTCGAACCGAGGATTTCTTTGGATCGACCGTGTTGGAGTACCTTTCCAAGAATCCGTTAGAGGAAGGAAAACATGCAACTCGATGGCTGGTAAATCGCCTTGTTGGCGAAAGACTACCATTTATGGGGCTGGATCGTTGCAAACAAGAACTACTTGCTGAGGAGGAAAGAGTCGTCCGCGCTTCGAAACAAGGAGTCTCGAGCAACGACGAAGTCCAGTGTTTCTTGGACATGCTCATGGAGTTGGAATTGGTGGAGATGCTATCGTTGTTGAAACTGAAGCTATGGAAAAAGAAATTGGACGAGAATCTTGGAAAGGTGAAGCAAGATTCTTCCCGCCAGAGTTGTCGAGTTGGTTGCGGCATTTCCATAGTTGTTCAACACGTGTTGCCTTTTCTCGGTGAACAAGTGGGTCATACATAGGCCATTGGCATTCTTTGGGAGGTACCGCAGTTGTTTCCTTGCAACGCATTGGACGTGATCCAAAGACACTTTGGCTGATCTCCTAGCAGTGGAACCACCCAGCCAGGTAGCGATACTCCAACGTAGACCGCAGGCACACTGGAGCGGCCTGAAATGGCAGGCTTGCTGGGAATGTCCTCAGCGATGTCGTATAGATTGCCTATCAAGGATGACGGAAGCTGACTTGCCGGTGACAGACTCTGCGCAATGCAGAGCTTGGGCTTCGCTGAAAACGAGCCTGCCTAAAGATTCATTTCATTCGTGGACGTTCCGTTGAAATGGGTGAACTTCGTCGGACACTTCGTCGGACCGACGAAACTTCGTCGGATCCGACGAAACTTCGTCGGACCCGACGAAACTTCGTCGGACCCGACGAAACTTCGTCGGACCCGACGAAACTTGGTCGCATTAGAAACAGGGTAGATTATTTTTAAACCTCTTGATCGGATTAATCCTAAATCTATTACTCAACTGAGTACAATTCGTGGTTGACGTTTGAATTTCTGAAAGCATGCAACATGTCTGTAGCAGGTGGTATTAAAATACCGTTTTTTGCCGTTGTTGCTTGTCATTCTTCTTGGACCAGCTTGCGTGCAACGGTATGCCAACCATAGAATTCATTTAGAATTTTACACGATTCTTGCGAGCTCCGAAACCAGTTTCGTCCATTTTGTCCATTTTGTCCATTTCGACGAAGAATAGTCGGACTCCGACGAGAATAGTCGGACTCCGACGAGAATAGTCGGACTCCGACGAGAATAGTCGGACTCGACGAAGGGTCGACTATTTTCGTCCATTTGGACGAAGGTTCAACGGTTCGGAAGCATTTAAAAAAGGCACGCACGCCGAGTAGTTTTGAAAAGAAAGACGCGCCAGTCAACCAAACTTGTGTAAAAAATTGAAGACTATGCTATTCCCATCATTTTGTCCGAACGACACCCCCGAAAAGCTGACTCGGCGCATGTAGGTCCAGTTAGTTACCGTCATGGGGGGTTGGGATTCCCTGTATGCAGCCAATCAGAATGCAGTTGTAGCAGAAACAATTAGGAGCATGATAACGGATTTAACGCTATTACAAACGGCTTTAACGCTATTTGAAACTGTAATTTCTTAAGTAAAATACTTTTTTAGATCTTGCCGAAGTGTCGTCACACAAATATTTTGAAGACAACGCGAATCACAATACTATGATTTGGGCTGTATCAGATAATGTTTAAAAATAGATATGCACTAGTAGTTAGTAGTATGTATTAACTTCGTTTTCTCCTTAGCTCTCCCTTGTCAGCCAAGTGTATGGCCCAAGGTTCTGCTGCTTTGAAGGATTTGCTACTGGCGAAGGGATGGTGGTTCCTTGAAAGTAGGGAGGAAAAGGATGTTTGTAGAAAGCTTGACAAAAATGCTGCTGGTAGGCCAAATGTCGTTCGTAGGCCAAGTCTAATTGTATCATTGTACGTTGCTGGTGGTAGCAAGCTTGATGGGGCGATGTTGTCCTACCTGCTGATTGTGCTGGCGCAAGAAAGTAGTGTTGGGGTGGCAATTGCATCTGTCGTGGTGCTATCATGATGGTGGGATGGGGTGCAAGATTTGTCACATTGATCCTGTTCTTCTTTTCCCTCTCGGCGCAAATCAGCGCCCCCGCTAAAGAAGAAATGTTCCCAGCATGAGCGGTTTGAATAGAACCAACTCTTCTCTTGGCATATGGATTTTTAATTTTGCTGCAGTCTTTGCATTTGCATCTTTTCGTTTTTTCATCATAAAGAACTCCACTGCTTTCTCTGGCAAGTTGTTGGGTCAAGTATTCAGAAAAAAATCTCTCTCCGTTGTCGGCTGGTAGCTCTTCTACTCTGCTGTGGACATTGCCAATGATTCCAGCCTCTTTGGCCAAGTTGTTGATAAATGCAAGTCGAAGGTGGTTGGTATAATGTGGTGCCCTGTGAAAGGCTGTAGGAATCTTCTTTCGCAACTTCGGATCAAGGGATCCAATATGAAGGCGGTATCGTATTCGCAAATTGTACAAGGCAATTCCAGCCGATGAAGTGTAGTCAGTTAGAGTTCGTCGTGTGCCACCATTTGAACAGTGGTGCATGATGTGATTGCCTTTCTCCACCTTTGATTCGGCGCCACGTGTACCTATGAATACAGGGAGCTTGCATTTCGACATCAAGCCTGGTTTGACACTAAAATATAGATCATCTTTGGGCAAGATGTCTTCCACCCAAATTGCATTCTTCATTTGCTCTTCAACTGCAGTTTCAGTTGGTCCTGTAAAAAGGTCAGCATGGATAGTATCATCATACTCATCCTTGAATTTGCGGTACCATGCAGCCAACTTGGATTGGATAACTGTCGCCTTGTATGACCAGACTCTCACATACTGACGATATTGTTTTGCTCTTTTAAGCTGGTTCTCTTCTGGGCACACCTTACCATCAACTTTTCCAAGATTCCCGGCTGAGATCTGCTGCATCACTGCAGCAAGATCTCCTTCATCATAGTAGTAGAGACACTCTTGAAGTGCACGAATAGCATCTCTATACAACTCATGATCTTCCACCAGCGTCTTTGTGATGCGCTGCAGATAGTGAAACCAGCCAAGGCGGCATGTAATGCCACAACCCGAAAAAATATCGTTCCAAATTCTTGTTCCTCTTGGGCAGATATCAGAAACATGCACCTTTGGGCAAACATTTGGGCGGCGGGAGAATTGGGCAGCTTGGTGTGCATAGTGAGTTTGTTCTTCACTGGGCACAATAACAACAGATGCTATTTCCCCTGTTTCTGTTCCGATCGAGTGTGCACATTTTGCATTTTGTATGTCTTCGGGCCTATAGTTTCCCAACACAGCATAGGTGTGATCATCACAGGTGGTTGTCTTTGCTCCAACACTCTGAATCTCTCGACAGACTCTATCTTTGTCTGATACTCCAGTGGATATTAGTGCAGAGTGTGCTGCGACATCCTTCATGTCACGAAGATCTTTCCCACTTGGGCTGTACTGGCCAATCCAGTCCTCATATACTGGAAAGGGTTCTGTTACCGTTGTTCCAGTGTCTCTAGCCTGATTATAATATTCCTCTTCTTTGTCAAGATGCTTGTCCCCACGAGTTTCACTTAGCAGTTGTGCAAGTTGGTCGCCATTTCCATGTGTTATCATCAGCTTGTCCATCACATTTGTAAAAGTCTGGCTTAGATGCCTTTTATTGCTGAGTGCATACCTGGGATCCACAGGATACGCGTTGCGAAATTGAGCCGGAAGTTGGGCTAGTAATGGGCCATCGTTCCCTTTACATCGATAATCACACCTGGCAGTATTATTGCACTTGTACTTCATGGAACAAGCCCAACTTGTAACCCCAGAAATATCAATAATTGGGGTTGCAAATCCGCTGGTCTTGTAGTCATACTTCTGATGAATAAGCTCTCCTTTCCTGCACTCTGGGCAGATTAGTTGAATGCCTGGAAGATTGAGCTCCCACCGGACCAAGTAAATTGTCACGCCCTCAAGTTGACTGTAGTTGTGGTCTGGGCTTTTGGTCTTGTCATCTCTTGGGAAGGTAAACCCCAGAGTGCCAGGAGGAAACTGACGTTGGTAATTCTGGTGCTCCCAATAACTTTTTCCTCTTTTATCTTTTATCTTGAGTACATTATCTTCAGTGCCACATGTGATGCTTTTGTGGGTTTCCAGGAGGGCATCGATGGCAGCACCAATCACCTTCGGAACAGAGCTTGAATTAGTCATGCCAACCGAACAATTTGCCATCAACCTGTTGATTCTCTCCTTCAACGCTTGGACGGAAAATGGAGAAAGTTGATCCTCCAAAGAAGCTTCTTTCATGCTACTCTTGCTTGAGGGTGGCAATTCCACATTTTTTCTCTGCGAAAAAAACTTGTTGACGTCTGCTTGACTTTTTGGAATTGTGCTGCTGTGAAGTTCCATGCCTTCAAAGGGCCGATTATTTCTGGCCATCATTGCCGTGTCAAGCCTTCTTTGTAGGACTTCAACCTTGTCAAGTCGACCACCATCTGTCTCATAGTACTGCTTGTTGAGTCGGCAAGTTGGATCATGGGCACACTTTTTGGCCCCACCATTTTTAATCACAAAGCACCTGGGACATGTCTTTGTTCCTTCATCGCATCTTTTTTCAGCATTGTTTCCAGTCATTGTCTTCTGCCTCTTTGCCGGTTTCCCATGTTGTAGCTGTTGGGTTCGTTTTAGTTGCCGTTCCTGACCCATCTTCTTCATTGCTTTCACTCTGCCCACTGTATGTTGTGACTGCAGGCCCATCTTGACGTGGTCCTTTTCAGGTGGTTTCCTTGGTGAAAGGAAACTAAGAATTGTGCCCTGTTCTTTCTTATCTTTTTCACGTTCATTTTGGCTGCTTGCTGTATGCTGCATGGTGAACGTGTCGCTGCGAATGCCAACAGTTACATAGTCAATATACATAGATGACAAAATATTGAACGGGTAGATACGCGCCGAAATAAAACATCTCTGGAGTTTCTGGTAGTTGGGGGAACAGAGGATCCATCTATGTAGATTTTATACTAGTTGACAGCGCCTACGGCGGAGTCAGTTCTCCGCCTACGGCGGAGGTTAGGGGGCGCCCCGCAGGCGGGGCGTTTTGGGGGCATTTTTTCAGTTACAGGCCGCTCCTGTTCGATTTCTTTGACTACATTGTGTTACAGACGGACAAAGGCCGAACGGCCTTCGACCGTCAAAAGTTGTTGTCGATGCGCCAAGGCAATGATGCCCAGTTTATCGACTGAGATTGAATTCACCCTTGTGTCGTGGTAATACCGCACACGGGTTTCTGAGATTGGTCGAACGAATCGAGTCTATTACTCGATCAGTTCGACCCGCACCCACCCCCCCCAGCCAGTGTCGTGTGTAAAAATGCGCTGGAAACTTTTTTAAAATTTGCCTCCTTTTTTTCCCTCCCAATTTTCCCTCCACCCGCCACAACCCGCGGACGAGTGTGACACAGGCCCATGATAACTCTGTGTCATTATCATGTATGGGCAAGAAATATAATATTTGGCTCGCAACTGCAAACGGCCACTTGTCAAGCATTTTGCGATAACCTTCCAAGCTAATACTAAAAGCTAATATTTTAGTGAAGGAATTTCGAATACAGAAGATTTTGTTTAGTGTCGATCAACTACTTCTTGACTTGCTTTCTCTTCTGTAGTCTTCAATAATGTTTAGTGTCGATCACCTACTTCTCAATTTGCTTTCTCATCATAGTCTTCAATAATCCGCTGCCACAAATTGTCCTTCTGCAAGTCATCCAAAACAAAGTATGCCATCTCATCCAACAGCTGTTCAGAGCAAACATTCTTGTAGTTCTGCTGGAAGACAGAGATTTTAATCTGTCTGTCAGAATGACTAGTATTCCACATTTCGACGTTGCTCCTCATCCTCGTTAGAGATTCTGACTCGCAACCACTTGGCAGCTTATGACCCATATGGTGCGTTTTGTAGTGCTTGCGCATCTTTTGACAATATGTAGGAAACCTTGGCAGCAAAACAAGGTCCAGCCAACCAGCTTTTGACGGTTGTGCAAGCAGCGTACGTGACAACACCATTTCAGTATCGGAACCCATTGGCTCCTCGTCGTCGCTTGGTACCGCATACCGTTCCTTTCTACTCAATCTAGCTTTTTTTTCCCTCACCCCCACCTGCCTCGGTTTCAGCTTCTGAAGGAGGATCTCAGGTGCCCTTGGCAAAAGTTGCTCCGCGCCCCCATTTTTGTCAAGACCAGATGGTAGTCTTTTGTGACGTAGACTTGCAAAGTTATATAGATCGTTGCCCTTTAATGAACAGAGCTTCCTACCCTTGCCAACTACAACTGGATCGTGGCATCCCTCGACAGGACATGCAACAATGAAAGAAATTGTGTTTGGCATGCTGGGAGAACACCAAATTGAATCAAAATTTTGTTTAGCACCCTTCCTTACTGCAGGAGGGGCAGTGGCCTTGTCTGGAGGAGGGGCAGTGGCTTCATCAGGATCACCATCGGTACCAGTAGCCTCAGAAACAGCCCCAGTAGCCTTATATTCACTTTCATCAGTAGCCTTATCTTCACCAGCATCAGTAGCTTCAGGCTCACAATTTGAATTATTATCATCTCCATTATCGCCATCGGCCATCAGGGACCCCATTATTTCTTTTAAAATTCCGGTCGTATATCTTGGCCACAATTCTCTTTTTCTACTGAAATATCTCTCTGGAATATCCTTAGATACTTATGCAGTTATCCATCGCAGGACTTTATTGCAGATTCTTATTTTGATGGTCACTTAAAATATTCCCGAACAATTTCATTTATGGTTCCCATCGATGAAATTATTTCAGACGATTATTTCAAATTTCCTCCCCCCTAATGAATCCCATTATTGTGGATCAACTTAAAATTTTCCATTGCACGTTGTGTCAGGTGGGCCTGTTTCTAAGATGTGACAGGATTCTTGGAATAAAATCACTTCATGACATCATTGCAACAGCCTGTAGGCTATTGACATAACATGCAGCAATATATTGTGACGCTTTCAGTGCAGAATACAGGTTCAAAATATATTCTCCATTGGAAGTATCGAATTCTAAGGTTGGGTTAAATGTTGACATTCTACAGGAGATTATATTGCTTGAAGACGAACTATATATTTTAATTCTACCCAAATGCAAATAGCAAGTGTCATTTCAAACAGCTATAGGCCAATGAAAGGTGTTGACGGACAGGGTGGGTTCTCCAGCTCATAGACGGCTAAGAAAGTGGATAGCTGCAAGTCTCAAAAGATGACCAAGCAGAGACGTGGCTTTGAGAATCTTGAATGGTCTACCAGCATTCAATGGAATAAGCATCTGTAACCGTACCCACCAGCACTGTGTCGACTTGCAAGATGTTTAGAGTCCAAATAGAGCTGACAGTCAAGTGATATGTGAGCAATTCAATTGCTTCGCTGAAATAGCATTCGATCAAAATTGAATCACTGACATCTTGATGTCCATTGATTGGTTGCTCCGCGAATCGTATCGTATCGGTGTCCATCAATATTCCTCGAAGTACACTAATGTGTAAGAATTCTTTTATCAATGAACAATTTGTTAGACAAAAGAAGTACGCCCAACAATGTGTTAAGAAGTCAAGACTACTTACCAGCAGCAATGACAAGACCTTTAAAAATATAACCGTTCACATGAAGAATATGCTCGATGAGGATAAGCATCCTGTTGAAATCGTTGAAAACAAAACATGAGAAGAGCCAAGACCAAATGTGCGTTGCAGTAGTCAAGAATACTCACCAGCAAAGGCAAGACAATTTTAAAATGTCTCCATTCATATTCAATTGAAAGCATACTTGATGATAAGCAGGATCCTGGTGAAACAGTTGAAAACAAGACGTGAGGACAATAAAACAACAAAAGGCTCTTGGAACCATTGCATGAGATTCCGCTGAGGGTGTTGGTAGGTCTTACATGGGTTGCAAAACCACTTCTCCTGTACAGGTACTATCATGTTTTTGTCGTCAGAAACTGAAATTGTGCCTGAAGCGCACTTCCCTCCAACGTGCCACTCCATCCAATGTGTAGTACTAGTTCTACCAAGGTTATACAGTCATTGGTGTGCCGATTCTTTACCTGACACCCAGTACAATGTCTACTACAGTAGACTTTGTACCTCCTCTACACGAGAAAATCCTGGCGCGTTGTTACTGCGCCAGTCCCTCCTTTGTGCTGCCACCGCAGCTCTCTCTTCCCATACCTGAAGAACCTTTGAAAGAAGAATCCTCCGTCTTGTACACTGATGGGATATCCCTGACTCCTTTGCTATTGCCCATAGACTCCTTTCGACAGTTTGGATCGGTTCATGCATTCATCCGGGTTACCCACAATATATTCAACTACAAACTATCCCAAATGTAAGCGTAACCAGCGTTCCGGGAAATCTGTATATGTCGTTGTATTGGAGGGAGTCCTAAATCTACTAAAGTATGGAGATTGGAGTAGTTACGGTAGTAGCAGGACCCTGCAAAATGACCAGAAATCCGGTCCCCTTTTTTTTCCCTCAAAACGTAGTTTCACTGTATTTGCACCCTTTTTACCGCTGCACACACACAGAACACAACAAAATCCAACAATACGATTCTTCCCGGATATACCATCGCCAACCAGAAATTCATCAGGACACAAAACAAAAGTATGATTATTTTCGTTACAGTAGTATGTCGCTGTTTGCCATTGCTATGCTTTCATTCCTCTTCTCTTTTGAGCAAAGAAAATGTTCTCGTCGTCGTCGTCATGGTCGCATCAAACTTTCATCTTGTCTTCAATTTTTTTGCTGTCTCCTCTGTGCTTCCGTCACTGACCTCCCTTCCCTAACCTAAAGAAACTTCGAAAGATGGCTCCTCTTTTTTGTACAAGGATGGGGTATCTCTCAACGCCCTTGCCATTGCCCATACAATCCTTTCTGTTTTTATGCTTTCATCCGGGTTACCCAATCATCAACTTTCCAGAAAGTACACCTAAATTTTGGGAATTTCCAGGATTCGCTGAAAACACACTTACTTTCTGGATAGTTGACAACCTGGAAAAGGAAATCGAATTCGAATAATAAAATACATATTGAAATACTTTTTTGACGTCAACGGAAAATAACGCCCCTTTTTCTTTTTTCGCCAACGTTATTTACTATGGTTTCGTGTTGCAGTGGCAAATAAGACGAAGAGTCGAGTTAATGTAGTATATGCTTGGATGTAGGTTATAGGCCAGCTTTGTTACGTATTCCCTCAGTACTGTAGTATCGGCACTTGGTAACGTTGACAAACCGGCTCCATCTCCACCATCTAACTTGCTTTCTCCATTGCTATCTGTAGAACGACCATCACACGCAGTATTAGCCTCAAATGCAGTTCCACGACCACTACCAGTGGCTCCAACTTCACCTTCATTGCTTTTGTCCTTGTTAGGCAGGGCTGGGTAAGTTTCATCTTTGCAATCAGCACCCTGTAACAACCTCCTTTTCTGTGATCTGGCTCGAGTCATTTTCCAAAATGATAAAGTAATTGTTTGCCAACGTTTGTTCCACTGTTGCTGCTGTTACTATTGCAAGAAATAACACTTGTATTATTCATTATTATTGTGGTTTATACCTCATAATACATATTTTATTAATACCACTTATATGCAATAAAACATATGTGACTACCCTTTAGATCGAGCGTGCATGTTTGTCTGAAGATTATATAAATCGAGCGACATCCATCAAGACGCTCGACGCTAGGGAACTTCTGTTCCTGGGCATTCGAAGCAGTAAAAGAGACGTTAACATACCGCTCACAAAATACTCTCACATGATGCGATTTGCTTAAGTAAAACGGGAAAACCGTTGTAGAAATACCACTTCTTTCCAAGACACGCTTCTTACCCATGAAAACATCTTCAAATGGATATATGTCTGCTGTACAAAATAATAAGAAAATTTTCCACCCCACATCCGTCATCTCTCCAGGATATCTTCTGATAATATGTTATGCAAGCAGTGTCTGACAACAACCATGTTTCGGTGCAGCAGGTGCGTCCAACAATAACTCATGCGATTCAAGTAATAATACATGTTTTATTCGCAAAACATCAATATTTATAAAGAAATATTAATATTAAATCGTTAGCTACAATATCCTTTCTTTCATTCCGTTGATTCGAGAGTGCATGGACTGTATAAATCGAGCGACATCCATCAAGACGCTCGACGCTAGGGAACTTCAGTTCCGAGGCAGCCGAAGAGACTGAGTATAGCACAATAGGAATACGGACAACGCGCTTGCTGGCACACATCCACTTGCCCATGGCGCAATCATTATCAAACTGATGTGGTTGGGAAACACGACAACAAGCCTCCGATCTGTCGCAAGAAATGTCACGGCAGTATGCGCATCGCCTTCAAACAATTGAGGTTTATGGCATCTAGATGTCCCAGGCACCATAGAGATTTTATTGACTACAGAAGTTCAGATACACCAAAACACACACGCACAAACTCGCATATAGTAGTTCGAAAGCACAGCAAACAAGATAATGATCTTAGACAACGATCATTTTTCTTAGTCTACTTCTATACTGTAGTTAGTTTGCTTTGGGTTGCTTCAGTCGTGCATTCATCTGTGTGCATGCACAAGGAAATACTTTTTTTGCACAACATCTTACTTCGCTTGTTGCGTCATCGTTCTCCATATATATATTATATATATATTATATATATACCAGCTCGACACACCTGAATATGGAATGCAGTGTGTATTGGGCAAGGAAAACTTTGCACGCTTCACTACTAATAACCCAGCATGCGAAGATTGCCGTGTTTCTGATCCTGATGCTGCATCAACTGACTGAGTTGTCGGAATTGTTTGTTGCATTGTTGACAGCTGTAGGGAAAATCTGGTGTTCCGCCATAACTACCATTGCCATTTGTAAGCAAGGGAGTCCCATTCAAGTAGGGCCGCATTCCTTTTTTGCTTGCAGCAAAACGGTAAATTTGATCGCGGGCTTGTTCTTGTCCACGACAACCTCTGCAAAATCCACTTTCAACGTGTTGAACCGCATTAGCGCCAGACCCAAATCTTTGATCTCCACAAACTGGACACGCAACATTACGGGGACGATGAACTTGCATATGCATATTCAGTTCGTTTTGGTTGTTGAAGGTACGAGAACATTGGTTGCATTGGAAGCCGGAACCATGAACGCAGTCAGAACAACGAGAGTTCCCGTCACCTTTTCTCCACTGATTCGAGCTGAAGCTACTGCTGTTACAAAAGCAACCGCAATCAGCACATTGTCGTCCCATAGTTCTCAATTGACTCGTCTTCAACACGACGAAATGCCAATCTGCATTATGCCTCTGCGTTATTTGGCGGATATAATGTCAAAAATTTAACAGTCGGTTGGGTCGTATCAACAGGGGAATTGAAGCTACGTCAGGCCTCCTGTTTGATGTCATTGTTTCTTTTCATTGTTGTTCACAGCTCAAAACAGAGGAAGTTGACGACGAGAGTTGTTCTTGGGGAGGTCAAACCAAGCTCCCAGCTGATTCGCAACCTTTTTCTAATGCCCCTAAGGAAGAAAGCCCGGTTGAAGTTTGACCCAACCACTGTCTTTGTTCTCACATCGTCGACAACTTAAGATCAAGTTCCTGATGTCCGGTTCGTCCACGTCGATGGATCCGTGCGCCTCCTTCCTGGGAAATTCTTTTATTGGCGCGAATCCTTATATAAGAAGCGATCTTCGAAGAGGGTGTTCATACCATTGGAGTCAGCGCCTTTTCGCTTTGCTGGGCGTTGACCAAAATCAAACTGCCATCGACATTGCGAGAGATTTTTGAGTATGCATTCTGTGATTGTTCGAGCTTAAACTCAATTGATTTGCCCGTGAGACTTGAAGTCGTCGGCAAATATGCTTTTACAGGGACTAAATACGTCATCTGGAAGTTCCTGCAACAGTGGAAACCATTGGAGGCGCAGCTTTCAAAAGCTGTAGACGGTCGGATTACGACCCTGTTTGGATGTAATCGAGCCCGAACTTTTGCACTTGTGCGAGGAATTGGAAGAGATTGATATTCCTATAATAGTGAAGAAAATTGGAGAATAGGCTTTCTCGCGCTCTTCGGCTTTGCAAAACATGGATTAATCACACTGCACCCAATGCCTGACGATTGGAGACAATGCCTTTGAATCTTGTTCGGAGCTGTCATGGATAACCGTTCCGCCCAATCTCGAAGGATCGACCGAGAGCGGAACATTTGCAAACGCTGGGCATTGACACATATCCGCGCTCCACCGAATGCCATGTCAATTGCATTCAGAAGAGAATACGGGTGCAGTTCCTTGTTATCATTGGAAGAATCGGAAAATGCCAAGCTCATCGTCGGCTGCCCAGGGCCATCCTTTGTGAACATGAATCTGCATCCGTCGGAGGCGTTTTTTCAGAGAAATTCTGACTTGGATCTACTTATTCCTCGAACGTACCAGCTTGCGAAAGTTGCATGCAGCTTGTAAGGTCTTCAAGAAAAGTTGATACGCCGATTTGATAGCATTCCTCTTCACAGAGTCTGCTACTTTCACAGCTACCATCCCATGGAAGACACAGCTCAACAAATGTTTGAATTCTGAGTGATAATCCAGGAATGTTGTTCCAAAGGGATATCTTTGGAATGACTCCATTGCATATCTTGTCTCTAGCTCAAAAGCCCATCGTGGAACTGCTTCAAGTGCTCTTTTCTGTATTCGATGTGGCTCGCACCAAGGATTTGTTTGGATCGACCGTGTTGGAGTATCTTTCTAAGAATCGATGGTTGGTAAATCTCCTTGTTGGCCAGAGACTACCACTTTTGGGGCTGGATCGTTGGGAACAAGAACTACTGTCGGAGGAGGAAAGACTTGTACGCGCTTCGGACCTAGGAATCTCAAGCAATGGAGTCCAGTCTTTTTTTGGCAAGCTCGTGGAGTTGGATTGGTGGAGATGCTCTCGTTGTTGGAACTGAAGTTATGGAAAATGAAGCTGGACGAGAATCCATTGGTGGGAGAGAAACTTGAAAAGGTAGAGCAAGATTCTTCGCGCCAGAGTTGTCGAGTTGGTTGTGGCATTTTCACACTTGTTGAGCACTTGTTGCCATTTCTCAGCAAGCAAGTGATTCATACATAGTCCATTGGCATCATATGGGAGTTTTTAAGCTAGTAGAAATCGTTTAGTTCGAAACGTACACTTCGTAGTAGCGATGGGTACCTGGTAGAACCTGATGGAATACAAACTCAACTACTGTACTTTATCAGACTTTACCTTTTTTATTCGCAACCCCTAGTCCGCGGAGTCGAAACGTCCGTGCCCCAACCGACGAGACATTTGTTGAAATCTACCACAAACTCACAAAATTCAAACTCACATCATTCACGATGGTGGCTAGCAACAACAATTATGCATCCAACAAAGATTCAACAAACACGGCTGTTGCACTGACCATAACCTCAGCTCTATGTGGATTAATTGCAACTTGGGCAACCCTTCGAATCTCCAACAAGAGGCATGAAGAAGAAATGGAAGCAGAATCCAAGGAATGGGAAAGACGACGACAAGAGGAAAGAAAAGGAAGGATTCGGGCGGAGCAAAAGTTGCGAAGTCTATTGAACGAAAAGAAAAATGCACCCTTAAAAGAAAGCAATGACATCGGGAACAACAATGACGCAGACCCATATGCCATGAGACTCTCGACGATTGGTACCATCGTATCACCCTACACAAAACGCATGGGAACACCTCGTCAAGGTGCCTTGGTTCCCAGCAGTCGCGGATTTGTTCAATTCAACTCTTCGCTGTCACCTGAGGCTGTGGATGGTATTGCGGAATATAGTCATTTGTGGGTGATCTTTCAATTTCACGCCAACACGAGTTTGGCCACTTCCAAGAAAACCAAAATACGCCCACCCCGAGGAGGAGGCAGAAAGGTTGGAATGTTGGCTACCCGATCACCTCACCGTCCTAACGCTCTGGGACTGTCTCTTGTGATCATCGATCGGTGGGAGCCATCTACTCGTCGTTTGTACATCAAAGCACTCGACCTTGTCCATGGAACCCCCGTGTATGATGTCAAGCCCTATGTGCACTGGGATATCCCAGGGAATGTCTACGACACGAGCCTACTCAAACTACCAGATTGGGTTGAAAATAAAGAAGATGTATTACCTAGTGTGGAATTTACGGATGCTGCCGAAGCCTCCCTTTTGAAGTTTGTCGAACATAACCGTTTGGCACCCTTGTATTCCAGCAAGGACAAGACCAGCTTGGAGGCAGCCAAGCAAACACTGCTAGAAATTCTGGCACAAGATCCACGGACATCGCACAAGGGAGTTTCCAAAAATCAGAGGGGCTCCTTATCGGGCTCCGAAACCTATCGTATTTTGTTTGGCAAGATTGAAATTGAATTCTCGGTCTCTGAGCACGGGGCAAAAGTTATTGCCGTGCATCCCTACCATGCAGAGTCGGCCGGCAATTCGGAAAATGCATCAGAATAGAGCTAGCACTACTCTCTGGTTGGTATGCATACAGAGTGTTAAAGCATTTCTCGAAATTATATCCATTCAACAAGATGATGGAGTTCTTTCTTGAGTTCCTTCCTCAAATGGTTGGGCACACGAATTGGTCTTCCGTGCTTCTGATACTCTAATGCCTCGTTGTAGGCTTCGAAGAGTGCACGGGAGTCAGGGTCGTCCAACTTTTTCTCCGATTGGTCCGTTTTCTTTTCGGCAAGCCTGTAAAGGGAACCAATGAGGTGATGGTTTTCCGATCGAAGTTTCTGAACATTTATATCCTGTGATTCACGAAACCAGTTGGGATTGGAAGCAACGGTTGACAACTTGCCATCGTCTTCTGCTTTCTCATCCTCTAGTGGGAGTGCGATCATAGAGTCAACCACTTCCTTGTCCCAACACACCAGGTACAGGTCGCCATCGAGATCTCCACTGGCGATTCGCTCTGGGATGGACATCATACCCAATCGAGGGTTCGAAAATATGACGACTCCAAAATAAAGATTGTTCAACCATTCCCAGTCTGCAGAGGACATCTGACGTGGCTTTTGAGTTATGGCTCGAAACTTTCTACCATGCTCACGGGCATAGCATGGCAGTCTTGTGACAAATAAATCATGTGACTCTTGCTTCTTCATCCCTGGAACGAAAATGGTGTCAGGGGGCAATGCACCTGTAGGGTCCGGGACACCTACAAGCCATGCATGATTTCTACGATCAGGAAGCAAACTCTCTGCTTTGTATCGTTGGCATAAATCCGTTGGAACGCCTAGTGTCTCCCAAAGTCGGAAAACCATAGGTGACAATGGCTTTGCGATTTTGGTTTTGAACCCTTGCTCTGAGGGATCTTTTGCAGCAGGGTCAAGTTTCTTCCCAATCATTTCATTGCCAGACGTAGGGTGTACTTTGTGCTTGCAAATCAAAATTTCGGCACCTTTGAGCCTATCTGGGCGGGTCGACGGCAGTACTTTTTGCATTGAGCAAGGTAATTCGATTGGAGCGCCATTTCTGGTACGCTTCTTAACAAGCATGCCTTTATATATGCCCATCGACGGAATGAAAATGCGGACTTGGATCGCTACAGCTCTACTGGCAGGAGCAGGTCCCATGCCTGCCATTATCAACAGGTTCACCAGTGTGTCTTCATGGATGAACCCACCACCAACATATCCAAGATCTTGTATCTCTTGAAACATAGCGTCGTCATGATGAGTGATTTTCAATTTGGTGGGAGACTGAAACAGTTCAAAACGGGCTGCAATCTTTCTTGGATTCAATGTTGTGAAGTCAGCAACACGAAGCAGCCGATCTTGGATGGAAAATTTATCATTGACCGCAGCATAGACGACTTTCGCATATTTTGATTTCTTGGCGAACAGGAACCCTTCTGCTTTATCCTCAAACATCTTCGCTGATACCATTTCATAATGGCCAAATGTGCCCTGAAGTTCTCTTCTGACTCCACTTACTTCTTGGTTTTTCAAGGGAAATTCAATCGTGAGCCGTTGGTCCTCCAATATGTGTTTCAAAAAGCAATGGTCGTCCTTTTCATCATGCGGCAGAATTATCTTCGCATTGATGAGCCCCCAGAACCTTTGTTTGGCAACGATGTCTTGAGGGGCGACCCAATCTAGGGCCTCAGCGGATGGGGCAACCGTCGCGTCCTTTCCTTTCTTCCTCGGTCTGGATTGCTTGCCGGCACTTTGCTTCCGAGGTTTGGCAGTATTTGAGATTTTGCTTCTGGATCTATGTTGCCTTGGTTCGACTGATTGCTTCGGCGTTGAGCCATCTAAAGCTTCAAGGCTTGAGCAATGAAAGCCGAAGGTTCTTCCGTCATCAAGCTCCACAGCGAATATGAATGATTTTTTTTGCCCTATTATTGTACCGAGTCTGCCTCGTTTGTATGACTTGGAATAGTCTCCCCTCACCCGAACTCTCTGCCCAGCAGTAAAGTGACCCGAGGTGCAAGAAACCTTTGTGGCAGCTACTGTTGAATTCCAAGCATCGTCATTTTCTGATGTAGACGATTCAACATCTGATGGTCCGAAACCGGCTGTTGGCGAGACGGCGCCACCCGTCATTGTAGCTGCTACAGCTAGTGATTTGAGTCGTAATTCCTCTACCGCAGCTGGGTCGGCGGCTTCGACATCAAACACCGCGCATCCTGTGTCAACATTGTTCAAAACAAGGATATCATCTAAATCGCTATCACTCTCATAAAATAGAGACTTTGCATGCACCCACTTTGTACCTTCCTCGCTGTTGGTATCTTTCGAAGGATCATTAGTAAGCAAAGGTGTAGAAAGCATCTGTTGCTGCTTCTGTTTTGGTCTCGGCTTCGGCGGTGGCTTTTTCGTCACCGTCGAAGGAGCAACTGGACTTGTTTTGCGCGCCGTCTTCTGGAGTCGTTTAGTGTTCGTCTGCAGTGAATCGGGCTGTGATTCAAGGTTGGAACGAGGCATTGCAGCAATGGATTCAGTTTCCAAAGTTTTCTTTATACGATCTGATTGTTTGGATTTACTTTGTCGCTGAGACTTGGCTCTTGGCTTGGCATCAGATTCATCGCTCTGTTGATCTGGTGGAAACTCCGATGGTGGTGGTAAGAATTGCAGACTTGTCAATCTCAGTGCAGTACGAACCTTGTTACCGCTTGTGACCCAAACGGTGTTTTTGTCTTTCCACCCAGTTACTGTGCCCACACGAGCACATCTCATTTGCAACCTCACAGATTCTTTGACTTCTACTTTCCTTCCAATGACTTCTTGAGACAAGGCAACAATCTTATTTGGAGTTTCGAAGCGAGTGCGAGCACAAGAACGATTGTCTTCAGAGGCTTCAGAGGGACTGTCCGAATTAGATTCAGATTTGATACCTCTATCATTCACCAGCTGATGGCTCCGTTCCCGCTGGGACTTTTGTCGATGGTAGAAGTGTTCATGATTTTTCTTCCAATTTCGCTCAGCTCTTTGTTCGTCTCTCCTATGCCGAAACGATGATAAATCCCTTGGAGTTTGTTGTTGTCTCCGATGCGAATTGTCCATATCGTATCGGTAGCTATCCTCATCAGTCGAGGATTCGTCGTCTTCTTCCGCTTCTGCTTCATAGTCCGTTAGACAATATCGGCTGCGGCTATATGCAAGTGGTGGACGACGATTCCGGTGTCGGCTTCGGCGTCGTTGAGCTTTACTACTACGGCTATAGCTTCGATGGGCTGTTGTAAATGATCGAGGATCACGTTGCCGTTGGATTCCTGCAAGTTGGATTACGCTCGTAGGAGACGAGTGCTCAGAAGACGACTCTGAAAAATAGCCGCCTTCTCTCCGCTGGCGCTTACTTCTATGATTGTAGTCATCTTCGCGACTATCGTCATCAGAAGTATCCTCTTCAACATTGGCTCCTGACGGTGCAGGGGAAAAGACAGACAATATGCGTTTGAACATCTCTCTTATCTTACTGTACGGTATCGATCTTGAGAGAACTTTGAATGGCGGTCTTGTGGATTCATTTTCTCGCTCCAAAAAAGATACGTACACACCTTGAAATGAAAGATCGCATCCTCTCGCGGTACGGTACCAGTACCACCGGCTTGCAAAGATACCTATTTCAAGTAAGATCAGAGATGCGCGACACGCTCGCGCTCGTTCAACCACAAACCGCTAGCCGGACTGTGGTCGTACCATATCTTCTTTTATTCTTGTTTTCCAAAAAGTTGCGTCAACACCAAAATCCATGTCGTTGCCATTCAAGTATCGAGATCTGGAACACTATGTTGAAGGAACAATAAAGGAACTCCAAGATGACGAGTGTTCTAGCTTGCAGGTTGGCGAATTTTACCTCAATCGCTCGGTTCTTCAACCAGAACATATCG